GACTTATCTGTAGCATAGTTGATCTAAGGATTCCCACCGAGGAAGAAAAGTTGACAGTGACTAGTTGATAGTCTTTGAGCCTTCAGCTGTCGGCATTTTTTGTTTGAAAGAGCTGTGTGAGGAGGAGAAACAAAGAGATCTTAACCCTTAATCTGTGTTAACACTGCCTCTGCCCATTTGCTTCTTTTGGAACTGTAATCTAAACTCATTGTACCTCCCTTTCCATTATTTATTATTTCTTGTTGAAAAGCAGAACAAATTTACAGAGACAAGTAGAGACAGAAAGATCTTCCATCTGCTGGTTCACTCCCCAAGTGGCCTCAGCATCTGGAGCTGAGCTGATCCCAAACCAGGAGCCAGGAGCTTCTTTTAGGTCTCCCACGCGGGTACATGGTCCCAAGGCTTTGAACCATTCTTTGCTACTTTCCCAGGCCACAGAGAGCTGAATGGAAAGTGCAGCAGCCGGAACATGAACTGGCACCCATATGGGATCCTGGCACTTGCAAGGTGAAGATTTAACCACTGAGCCATTGCACTGGACCCTGCTTTACATTTTTCTTAACACCTTCACCTTTTAAATGGCTTTATTTGGTATAAAGAACATAGTATGTAAAATTTATGAGTTGTGTGTGTACAGAAAAATTTGATGGTTTTAGCACATTTATGCAAGAATGTAATCATCACAGTCTAGTTTTAGAACACTTTTACCTCAAAAATTTCTGTTTTATTTGTTTCCAGTTTATCTTTACTCTTACTGAACTCTGGATAGTTTCTAAGCTTATTTCTGTCAGTATGATTTTTATTTCAGAAATCTAATGTGTGTAAACCATGTCGTTTTGTGTGTGGCTTTTCCCACTGAGCTTGCTATTTAAGTGGAGCTGTGACATGTGTGAATCTGTGACTTGTTTAATATTACTAACTTGTTTACAATTGTATGGGCATTTCACTTCCTTGGGTGTGTATGAATAATGCTTTTCTGCACTTTGAAATGCAAGTCTTTGTATAGACACCTATTTTCATTTTTCTTGAATATGGGAAATGAATTGCTGAGACATGCTGCTTATATTTAACTATTTTTTAAAGATTTTTTTTTAAACTGGAAAGTCATGTACAGAGAGGAGGAGAGACATAAAGGAAGATCTTCTGTCCGATGATTCACTCCCCAAGTGGCTACAACACCTGGAGCTGAGCCAATCTGGAGCCAAGTGCTAGGAGCCTCTTCCAGGTCTCCCACCTGGGTACAGGGTCCCAAGGCTTTGAACTGTCTAATACTGCCTTCCCAGGCCACAGGCAGGGAGCTGGATGGGAAGCGGGGCTGCCGGGATTAGAAATGCCGACTTTATGGGATCCCGGCATGTTCAAGGCGAGGACTTTAGCCACTAGGCTATTGCTCCGGGCCCTATATTTAACTTTTTAATAGACCATCAAATTTTATACCTCCTGTTATCTGTACAGTAGTCCTCCTTATCTATGGTTTTGTTTTCTGAGGTTCAGTTACTTGTTAACAGCAGTCAAAAAATAGTTAATGGAAAATTCTTGTAATACATAATGAGTAAATTTCAAATTTGCTGTGTTGTAAAAAGTATAATACCTTAAATTTTTTGAAGACTTCTTTATTTCACTTACACAGTGACAGAGAGGGAGAGATATGAGGTACTGTGTATCTGCTGATTATTCTCCATATGGCCACAGTGAACAGAGCTGGGCCAGACTGAAGCTAGAGGCTCCGAATTCCATCTTGGTCTCTCATGGGGGGGGCGGAGGCCCAAGTACATTGACTGTCCTCTGCTTTCCCAGCTGTGTCAGCAGGAGTCTGGATGTGAAGTGGAGCCGCTGGTACTCCAGCACTCAGATATGGATTGCCAATATCAGAAAACAGCGGCTTAACTTGATGTACCACGATGCCGGCCTCATCGTGATAGAATTTTATGGCCTCTTGCTCCTTGCAGCCCTGAACTTGAATCATTCTTTAGTCCAGCATATTCAGGCTACACATATTCTATACATTCATTTATTTCTTAGCCATCTTTGTTACCAGATCAGATGGTTGAATGTTCTTATGTAAGTAAACTCTGTTTTATTTAGTAGTTCAAGTAATGGAAGCTGTTAAGTGCTTCCTTCAAGTGAAAGAGCGAAAATTCTCAACTTGAGGAAAAAGAGATATGCTGAAGTTGCTAAGATCTATGTAAAAACAGATTGAAAAAAAGTAAAATTTCCTGTGAAAATGTGATAGCTTTGCTGTCATGTCTTAAACTTCAAACGTTATGGCCATAGTATATAAATGCTTAGTTAAAATGGGAAAAATCATTAAATTGTAGGAGTGGGTACTGGCTGTGGGTTCAGGTATCCACTGGGGGTCTTACAAGCAGTCTCTGGGTAAGGTGGGGCATTGCGATACTATTTCATGTAAATCTCTGGTTTTTTGCTTTTATTATTGTTTTTACTGTTAAGATTTTCAGAGTTCCTTTATATTGGGACATTAGTCCTGTATCTATGCTGGTATAAGTTTACACACACACATACATATAGTATGTGTATAAATGTATTTGTATATATGTTTTATATGTATCAATTACTTTGTATATAAATGTATATAAAATTTGTATAAATATGCACATTATAGTCTATATAACATGTTTATATATGCAGTAATTAGGGACACTTGGTAAAGTGTTAATAACAAAATACATTTATATATAAATACAATTTTAAAAATTAAATAATTTTTTACAAAGAGGGAGGGAGAGATAGAGGTTGATTATCTGTCTGCTGGTTCACTCCCAAGATGGCCGCAGTGGCCAGGAGCTTCATCTGGGTTTCCTGTGTGGGTGCGTTGACTCAGTTGTGCCGTCACTTAGCGCCTTCCTGTATTTGTGTGATTAGACAGTTGGTATTGGGGCCTGAAGTTCAAATTAAGGCATTCTGATGTGGGATGTAGGTATGCTGATCACTGGGTTAACTGCTAGGCCAGTGGCCTCTCCTTGATTATATCTTTAAAATGTGAGAAGGGAAGATACAGCTAGTATGCATCTCCACTCATGAATGAAAGATGGATTTCTAATGAAACTATAAAATATATTTTGACAATTGGATGCTGGACCTTTTACATTGTCTATAATTATAGTGTCATGATGCACTTAAATAGCAGAATGATAGACTGGTGCAGGGGTAGCGGGGAGAGTAAATTGGGAGGCTGGAATGGGAAATCCTTGAGCCTGTAGAATTGCATCATGAAAGATAAGTAATTTTTGAAAAGGCCAAAAAAAAAATGCTGGTTGAACTGTGAAAATTTGTTTTCTTTGTACTTGGTGTTATTCAAAGGTTAATTATTTATTTTTATTGGAAAGGCAGGTCTATAAAGAGGAGAGACAGAAAGATCCCCCATCCACTGGTTCACTCCCCAGGTGGCTGCAGTGGCCAGAACTGAACCAGTCTGGGAGCCAGGAGCTTCTTCCTGGTCTCAGCCAAGGCTTTGGGCCATCCTCTGCTTTCTCAGGCCATAAGCAGGGAGCTGGCTTGAAGTGAAACAGCCGGGACGCAAACCAGAGCCCATATGGGATGCCAGTGCTGGCAAGGGGAGGATTAGCTAATTGAGCCATCACACTAGGCCTAGTTCATGTTAAAGAGCTTTAAATAATAAGGACTTACAATTTGTATTTACATGTAATCAATGAATATGATCTGAAAGGTACCCCACTATATGAGAATTTGTTGGGTCTTTTTGGCCTGTGGTACAGAATAGAATGCTACCATTTGTAGCACTGGCCTCTCGTGTAGGTGCCCATTTGAGTCCTGGCTGCTCTACTTACTGTCCAGTTCCTTGCTAATGCACTTGGGAAAGCAATGAAAGATGATCCAATTGCTTGGGCCCCTGTATTGGTATGGGAAACCTGGAAGCCACTTCTGGATTTGGCTTTGGGCTGACATTGTCCCTGGCTATTGAGGCCAATTGGGGATGGATAGACCTCTCTTTGTCTCTCTCTGTAACCCTGCCTTTCAAATCATTCTTTTTTGCTTAATGGTCACTAAGGATCCTTTGTATGCTTTGAAAAGAGTGAATGGATCTCATTTGTTATGTGCAGAAATAAACCTGTATCATTTACTCAGACTTGTAAATTATGTTGTTTATTAAATGTCTTTCTTAATTATTTTAAAATTTTTTTAGTAATTGAAAGAAATGTTAATTACTATGGTTCTAAATTTATATATTTCTCTGTTTTTTGCTTGGTGTATTGTGATTTTTATTTGGTTAATCATATGTAAGATCGTTCTAGCAACTCAATCAATTGAATATAATCATGTAATAACCTGAAATTCATATTGATATTTAGTGTGTATTTGTTCTGCTACTGCCTTTTCTCCGTTAGAATTTGCTTCCTTTTTCTGTCCATGTACCATTGACAGTTCCATGCCCTTAAGTCTTAGGTAAATTCTCTCTCTTTTTTTGTAAGATTTATTTATATTTGTTGGAAAGGCAGATTTGCAGAGAGGAAAAGACAAAAAGATCTTCCATTTGCTGGTTCATTCCTCAAATGGCCATAAAGGCTTTAGCTGAGCTGATCCAAAGCCAGGATCCGGGGTTTCTTCCAGTTCTCTCGTGCTGCTTCACATTCCTCCTTCCCCCCCGTTATTTAATTGACGCTGACAGCCTCTGTTAATTGTTTTAGCTAGTCTATTTCATGAGATCACTGTAGTTCTTCTTGAGACTTTTGACCAATGATAGGGGTCTCAAACATGACTTCTCTCCTTTCTGGCTTTTTGAAGCTATGGTATCTACACTATATTGGTGGCTTAATAAGCTGAATAACATTGGATTTAAATGCAGTTATTCTAATGATTTAGGTTATTACCATCCCCAAAGAATGTACTATATAATAAGTATGTAATGAATTAGATAAAATTATATAGTACAGGACTGTTTTTATGTTTTTAGTCATGAAATTATATCCTAATTATATTAATGAGTTTACTTATAAACCATCTTCTCAAACTTGTTTTAGTCCCAGAAATCCTGGATAGAAAGCACTTTGACCAAGAGGGAATGTGTGTATATCATACCAAGTTCCAAGGATCCTCACAGGTAAGCCTACCTTTCTTCCTTCAAGAGTTTTCTAGAAATATAGTTATTTTTTATATTTATGTTACTATTTTTTCTTTAAAGATTTATTTATTCTTATTACAAAGTCAGATATACAGAGAGGAGGAGAGACAGAGGGAAAGATCTTCCATCTGGTGATTCACTCCCCAAGTGAGCGCAACGGCCGGTACTGTGCCGATCCAAAGCCGGGAACCAGGAACCTCTTCCAGGTCTCCCACACGGGTGCAGGGTCCCAAGGCTTTAGGCCGTCCTTGACTGCTTTCTCAGGCCACAAGCAGGGAGCTGGATGGGAAGCAGGACTGCCGGGATTAGAACCGGCGGCCATATGGGATCCCAGCGCGTTCAAGGCGAGGACTTCAGCTGCTAGGCCATGCCGCCGGGCCCTTATGTTACTATTTTTACATTTAATTTGTTAGAAGCAAAAATCATGAAGTGTATTTTTGGTTAAGTGCTGATTTTTGTAGTTGCTGCTAAGTTATTCTTTCAAGATCAGGAGGAAACAACATTAGCAATGTATTAGTATTCTGGACTTTTTCCAGAGATTCCTTTTATTTGTTTGAAAGGCAGAGAGAGATTAGGAAAGAGAGAGATGTGGAGAGAGAGATAGCCCAGTTGGTTCACTTCCCAAATTGTCTCCATGGCTGGGCCTGGTTCAGGTCGAAGCAAGAATTCAGGAATTCCATCCAGGTTTCCCACATTGGGTGGCTGGGTTTCAAGTACTTGAGCCATTTTCCACTGATTTGCCAGGCACATTAATAGGGAGCTGCATTGGAAACAAAGTATGCAAGAAATGGTACTCATATGGGATGTTGAAGACTGTGCCTCACCCCTCTGTCATGGTGACATAAACTGCTTCCTCAAAGTACTCCCCCATGTCACAGTTCACTGGAGTCATGCTAATGTATTACAAGACAGTTAGTACTGTCTTTTTCACTGATTTTTAGAACTTAGTATTTATGTATTGGTGATTTACTGAATACCCATTAGTGTGTTTCATGCTGAGGTGCATGTATGTGGACCTATTAGAGTTGTTTGCTAGTACCTAAACACAGATTAGCATTTATTGGAAGCCTAGCATCAAAGAGTAAGTGTGTTTCTGAGTTTTTAGTCTTTAAAATGCATTTTTGCTAATTTTTCCTCCTGATACTTACAAATAAAAAAAATCAAAGTTACAGACTAATCAGAGAGAAGTTTCATCAAGACCAAGTTATAGAACATCTCTATTCACAAGCACTTAGAAAAAAAACTACACATTTATGAGCTTTCTGAATCTTGTATTTCCTGTCAAACCATGATCTCTGCTGCTCTGAAACTTTTACTTTTTTTCCCTTTTTAAGGATTTATTCATTTGAAACAGTTATGGGGGGCGGGGAGAGAAAAAGAGATCAACAGAGATCCATCCACTGGTTTACTCGTAACCAAGATGGCTGCATTGGTTAACCCTGAGCCAGGAGCTTCTTGTGGATCTCCCACATGGGTGGCAGAGGCCCAAACACTTGAATCAACTTCTGCTTTTGACAGGTCCTAAGCAGGTAGCTCCATCATGATGGAAGCAGCCAGGATTCAAATCTCCCATGGCTTACTGCATTCCATGCCAGATGCTTTATCCTCTAACCATAATGCCAGCCCTGGGAGTCTCTTCCTAATGAGTGTTTCAGCTTTTTTCAGTTTATATATATATATATATATATATATATATATATATATATATATATATTTATGTGTGTGTGTGTGTATACACACATATACATATACATATATATATTTTTAGGAATCAGGAAAAATGATGCAAAGTCTTACATTATACATTTTTTTCAGTTTGTGTACATAACACAGATACATTTAGCCTTTGATTTGAATTAGAGTTACGGTATGAGAAGGAATCTTGAATTTTTATTGTGGTGAGTATTGGCATAATGCTGCCATAGAGATGATTGAGATGTACGCATACAGAACTAACATCAGATTCGAGACTGCCTTATGAGAATATTGTTTTAAAGTAAATAAATTCTTTCTTACTAAAATACATTTTTGTATGTATATTTTAATGTTTAACTATGTGTGTATTTTCTTTATTAGATTTTAAAACTTGGTTAAAATAAGCTCTTTATTAGAAAAACTGCTCTTCACAAATGTTTTAGGCAGTTTGTCTAGACATTATCAGTAGCAGAGTTTTGATAATTACTGTATTTTTATGTCATCAAATTGTACTTTGTTTTCTGTACTTTGTCACAACTAATTAGTTGCATTTAAATTTTAAAAAAATAATTTTTTAAAAATAGTTGCTTGTATAAATCAAGATGCACATGATCTCTGGTTTGTTCTAGAAAATTAAATGTTCTTTACCTTTTTGTGTCTTACAGATGCCTTCCAGGATGTCAGATTTGTCAGCAACTTGTCAGGTACATTTAATATAAATACAGTTCGTAAGTTTTGAAAAAATAAAGATCATCTGCTAGCAGTACTAGTTAGAATACAGTGCTGTCAAACTCCCACTTATCCCTGTCTCCTCCTCCCCCCACCCCTGCCTTTTTCTTTGTAAAGATTTATTTATTTAAAGTCAGAGTTACAGCGAGAGAGGGAGATCTTGGATCTGCTGGTTCACTCCCCAAACGGATGCAGTGGCCAGAGCTGGGCCAACTTTAGCCAGGAGCTGGTTATGTTTATTTTGGTGTGAGTACTTGGCCTTTTGAGGAGATGAGAAGAAAGACCAATTTAATTGTGGAGGTTGGCTTTGTGTGCTGGCCTCATTTCAATTAGTGTATCCCATATTTCCCTTTTTTTTAAAGATTTATTTATTTTTATTACAAGGTCAGATATATACAGAGATGAGAAGAGACAGAGAGAAAGATCTTCCCTCTGATGATTCACTCCCCAAGTCAGCTCAACGGCCTATACCACGCAGATTCGAAGCCGGGAACCAGGAACCTCTTCCAGGTCTCCCAAGTGGGTGCAGGGTCCCAAAGCTTTGGGCCGCCTCGACTGCTTTCCCAGGCCACAAGCAGGGAGCTGGTTGGGAAATAGAGCTGCCGGGATCTGTGCTGAAGTCGGGGGGTGTAGGACCTCCACATTTGCTTCGACGGACGCAGCCCCAGGAGGGCGACAGGGTCGGCTCGCTGTGGCACCTGCGCTCCGAGTGTAGAATTTTACACTATTACCTCTTAAATGTTTGGCAAAATTTACCAGGGTTAGCATGAGAGGTACTCATTGATAAGATTTACTAAGTAGTATGCTATGTGCATTGAAGTTTCTATCCGTTCCCATGTTGTGAACTGATTGTTGTGATCTAGTAAATTACCTTGAATGATTTATCCCTTGTATTCCTAGAATGAATTTCTCTTGAAATCTATTATTTTTGCTTTCCATATACTGCTGGATTCAGTTTGCTAATATTATGTGAATATTTCTGTGCTTACCCTAAACAGGAATACTAGCCTTGTGGTGGTAATTGTTTTGCTCTTGTAGCACTTTTCTTTTTTAAGCCATTAGGTTGCATCTCACATCATGAAATGAATTAGGAAATCTTCCCTATTTCTGTTTTCTGGCAGTGTGTAGAATTTTTTTTTTCTTGTTTCCTGTGGGAGGGATGGATGGGGCTGTGGTCAGCTCGGGGCAGCCAGGCTAGGAGGATCCGTGCTGAAGTCGGGGGGTGTAGGACCTCCACATTTGCTTCGACGGACGCAGCCCCGGGAGGGCGACAGGGTCGGCTCGCTGTGGCACCTGCGCTCCGAGTGTAGAATTTTACACTATTACCTCTTAAATGTTTGGCAAAATTTACCAGTGAAGGTATCTGGCCTTGAGTTTTTCTTTGTAGGAAGGTTAGTAATGGTTAATTGAATTTTTTTATTCAGTTTTTTCTATTTCCTCAATCTGGCTTTAGATTAGCTAGTTTTATTGGTCTCTTCGATGGTAAGTTTTTTATTTCATTGGTTTTTATTCCATTGTTTTTATCTTCTGTCTCATTGTATTTTGTTTTTTAAATTGATATTTTGAGAAAGAGAGCTTCAACCCTTTGGCTTACTCCTGACAAGCCGCAATGGTTGGAGTGGGCTGAAGCTAAGCTGGAAGCCAGAAATATATTAATGTTTTTTTCTTCTGTGGGTGTTGGGAACCTAGTAACTTGAGCAATTACTGTTGACCTCCGGCGTCTGCTTAGGGGGAAGCTAGGGTTAGAAGTTGTATGCAGAGCCCGGGTACTCTGTTGTGGAATGCACCACCAGACAGACACCCATCCTCATTGTGCTTTCTTTATTCTTTCTTTCGATTTACCTTGGGTAGATTTTGTTCTTTTAGTTTTAATGTGATTTATTTGAAAGGCAGAAAGAACTTCCATTCCCCAAATGCCCACAGCAGCCAGGGTTAGCTCAGATTAAAGTCAGGTGCTCAGAAATCTGTCTGGGTCTCCCGTGTAGACGATGGGGACCCAGCTACTTGCCATCACCTGCATCATTCCAGGGTATGTGTAGCAGAGAGCTAGAATCCAAAGTACAGCTAGAACTTGAAACCAGGTCTGATAATGGACACAGGGTTCCCAAGTAGTTTAACCACTGCACTTAATTCTTATCGCTGTTTTTAAAGTGTTTTAGGTAGAAGTTTAGATTATTACTCTTGAAGATCTTTTCTAATTTAAGCTTTACTACAAAATTTGTGCTGTTGTTATATTTCCTTTATAAAATATATAGCTATGTACATATAACTTTTCTAATAAACTGCTAAATTGTACCCTACATGATTTAATATTAATTTTATTCTAAATACTTTCTGGTTTTTTAACTTTCTTTGATCTATGAGTTGTAATTGCGTCCTCAAATACCCTAGAATTTCCCCAAGTATGCCATTATCTAACTTAATCTCGTTGTCTCAAATAATGTCAATTTCAGTTAATATTTTGTAAGCTCTTGAATAGAATCTTTACTCCCTTTAGTGGACTGTTCTGTAAGCATCTGTTTGATCACTTTGCTTGATAGTTTTGTTTGTATCTCTGGATTTTAATGTGACTGTTTTTTCCTTTTAAGCAATTTAAAGATGAGGTTCCATTGACTTTAGGCCTGATGGCGTTTGAAAGAGGCAGCTCTCTTTCTTATCTTTGGTCTGTGCAGAGTGTGACATCAGTACTTTGCTGCTTACAACATTTTTTTCAGTAGTATCCTAGAATGAATTTCTCCCGTTCGTTTGTTCTTTCAAAATTTGTATTATTATATCCAGAAAAACAATTCCAAGATTTTGCCCTCTTGTATATTTTTGTCTTATTTTTGTTTGTTTGTTTGTTTGTTTGTGGTGCGTGATGATTGTTGAAGTTATCAATACAGTGAAACCAAGCTGACAGGATGAGAGCAGATTGTTCATGGTAGATTTCTAGATCTTTGGATTGTCCAACAAATCTTAGGGCTGGTTGTTCCAGATTTGTTTACCTGTCTTTGAGATTCATAACAGTTTTCTTTTTATCTCTGCAATCATGAGTAATAATCAGATTCACCAATGTATTCATGCTTCATTATCTCAGAAAACATACAGTGTCTTTGAAGAATGACCCCCAAATAACTTGATTTTTATGTCTCTTTGCAGCCACTTTTATGCTCTTTAGAATGAAAAAAGATTTATTTTATTGTTTATTTATTTGAATGGTGGGGAGACAAGGTTTGAGATCAGGAAAGCAAATGTGTATGTTTCATCAGCTGGCTCATTGCCCTAGATTGAAGCAGGAACCAGGAACTCCATCTGGGACTCTTACATGGGTGGCAGGAGCCCAAGTACTTGGACCCTCTTCTGCTGCCTTCCCATGTGCATTAGCTACAGGGAGCTGGATCAAAAGTGAAGCAGCTGAAACCTAAGCCAGTGCTCTGATATGGGAAGTCTATGTTGCAGGCATTGATATAACCCACTCTGGAGGCCACAGTGCCAACCCTACCTTGATCAGACACTGACCTGATTGGAAGAGTTTGTCAGATTATTAATTGTACACCTCCTCTAGGTTCTTAGTTCCTAAATTGTGCTTTTAAATATAATGCATTGTCTCTTTTTGTCCCAGGCCTTATGCAATCACTAATCATTCATTACTGTGCAGATTAAATTGCCTTTTTCTGAGCTTTAGATACATGATATCAAATGTACTCTTTAGGGTCTTTCATCCCTGACTAAGAGTGAAATGTTTTGTTCTAATATGGAAGTTTCAGAGAGAGAGAGAGAGAGAGAGAAAGATCTTTCATCCAATAATTCACTCTTCAAATGGCTGCAACAGTTATGTAAGAGCTAGGTGGAAGCCAGGAGCCAGAAATTTCATCCTTGCCTCCCTCATTGAAGGAAGGGACCCAAGCTCGCTCATTTGTTTTCTTTCCCCTTCCTTCCTTCCTTCCTTCCTTTCTTCCTTCCTGCCTTCCTGCCTTCCTGCCTTCCTGCCTTCCTGCCTTCCTGCCTTCCTGCCTTCCTGCCTTCCTGCCTTCCTGCCTTCCTGCCTGCCTGCCTTCCTGCCTGCCTTCCTGCCTGCCTTCCTGCCTGCCTTCCTGCCTGCCTTCCTGCCTGCCTTCCTGCCTTCCTGCCTTCCTGCCTTCCTGCCTGACAGGAAGATTGTCCATCTGCTGATTCATTCTCCAAGGGGATGCAACAGCTGGAGCTGATCTAATCTGATCCAAAGGTCTTCTGTTTTCCCAGGCTATAAGCAGAGAGCTGGATGGGAAGTAGGGCCACTGGGATTATAACCAGTGCTCATATGGGCTCCTGGTGCAAGAACTTTAACCACTAGGCTATTGTGCTGGGCCCCTGAGACTCAAGTTCCTGGGCCGTCTTCTGCTGTCTTCCCAGGCATGTTAGTAGGGACTTCTGATTTGTCACTTTACTAGAGTCTGCTACATTACAGTATTGTCCTATTAGCATGATTGTTTTGAGATTCAGCCATATTGTATGTTAGTGGTTTGTTTATTTCTGTTGTTGAATATTATTCCTAGTTATAGCTATACCATATTTTGTAGATGCCCTATATTTCAGATGATAATGTTATGTACTGATATAATTACATTACTTTATAGTTTTCGGAAGATACTATTAACATCTTAAAATTTAAAAAACCATTTTCATATGCTTTGATGATTTATATTCAGTTTTTCAATGGATAATATTTTGAAAGGTCATTTTATAATTTTACTTTTTCCCTCTAGGTGTTTTTGTGGTCGCTTAGTCAAGCAACATGCTTGTTTTACTGCAAGTGTTGCCATGAAATACTCAGATGTGAAATTGGTTGATCACTTTAATCAGGCAACAGAGGAATGGTCTGTGGAAAAGCATACAGAACAGAGCCCAACAGATGCTTATGGAGTTATAAATTTTCAAGGGGGCTCTCATTCCTACAGAGCTAAGGTATTTCAGATATCCATTTATTTTACTAAATTCCTATTGTCTCAGTAATGCACAACAATATGTGTGGTGCCATGACAGAAAGAAATTGACAAGTTATCAGTTTACTATTTACCTTTTAGTATCAAGTTTTGGAAGTACTTGTAGTTCTCTGTTTTCTTATCATTTTAGGCAGTCTTCATGCTTCTCAATGTGTATTCATAGTTAAATAAGGTAAATTTATAAATTTGACTAATGGAGACTGAATATAAATAGAATAACACCATCTTAATACTAAAAAGTAGGAGTACTACTACTACTGCTACTGTATTTCTTACAGAATGAATTTTCCAACTTGAAAATCAATTGCTTATTCCAAGGACTGTAAATATGTTGAAAATAGTCTTCCTGAAAATTACTCTCAAATCATCTGAGTCAAGTAAAATCTTTTTCACATTATACAATGTTGCATTTTGAAATCGTCAAACATGATTGACTATTTTTTCCTTTTAAAATATCTTTTTAGTATGTGAGACTATCATATGACACAAAACCAGAAATCATTCTACAACTTCTGCTTAAAGAATGGCAAATGGAATTGCCAAAGCTTGTTATCTCTGTACATGGAGGTATGCAGAAATTTGAGTTGCATCCACGAATTAAGCAATTGCTTGGAAAGGGTCTTATTAAAGCTGCAGTTACAACCGGAGCCTGGATTTTAACTGGAGGAGTTAATACAGGTAATATGGTGACCTAACCAATTTTATTTAGTGTGTCTATAAAGTTTTTTTATACTATCAATTAAGCGTTCAAAGTAATAGCCAGTACAGATTTACTATTTGTGCATCCTTTCTTGGTACAAATGGTAAGTGTAAACCTGTTTGGTTGTTACCTGATCTTTAAGAATACAATATAACTCAGAGATTGGCACCAGATCCAGCTTCTTCATTGTTTTTCTGAATAAAGGTTTAGTGGAAAGCAGCCATATTTGTTTGTTATTGTTATGTATTTGTTACTTTTGTGCTATAGCAGCAGAAGAGATTGATAAATACTTTGCAAAGCCTGAAATATTTACTGCTTGAATTATTTTAAAAGGTTTTGCTGACCTTATTCATTGTGTTAATTCTTGTATTCTGAATACTGGCAAATTGAAAGAAGAAGCCAATCTGTTGCCTCAACGGTGGTAAAAAAGTAGTTGATCAAAAATCACGTTTCATGCCAGTTCCTCTGTATTACTTGTATAGGTTGAATATTAGGAGGGCAACTTAATTTTAATGTTTAAAGCAAACCATAGTTATTTGCTTAGATCTGCTTGTAAGCATCTCATGGATTATCAGCAAACTGTGCTTTTGAACACTGTTCAAATGTGTTACATATTCTTTGGGCCACCAATATTAACTCATTTGTGAAAATAGATGAGCTATTTGTCTCCCTGGAACTAATATGAAAGATATTCAAAGATTTTGTGAAAAAATGGGATTAGCAGGTAAAAATTTAAAATACAAGCTTTATTTTTCAACATAACCTCTATCAGATTCAACATACCTTGGTGTAGAATACCAGGTTTTTAATTCATACCTATGCAGTTTACGATATCAGTCCTGTTTTGTTTACATTAATTGTAGAAAAACTAGTGCCTTCAAAAAAAATTTCTTTTTTAAGAAAGGGAATGAAAAAGGATCCAAATCTGGACTGTGAGATAGATGCATAATTTCCTATCAAAATTCTGGCAGAATGGCTGTTGTTGAGAGGAATGAGCAGGAACATTTTGTTTGTATTAATTAGTCAGCTTTTTTGGGGACGCAGAGATAGAGAAGGAGAAACCAAAGTCTTCCATTTGCTGGTTCACCTTCTAAATGACCATAATGGCCAGCGGTGGGCCAGGCCAGAACCAGGAGCCTCAAATTGCATCTATGTCTCTCTTGTGGGAGCAGAGACCCAAGCCCTTAGACAGTCTTCTGTTGCTTTCCCAAGGGCATTATCGGGGAGCTGGATTGGAAGTGGAACCTGTGGGACTTGAGCTGGCACAAAATGGGATGCCAGCATTTTAGTTGATGGCTTAATTTACTGCAGTGCAATACTCACCCCATTAGTCACCTTTTCTATCACTAAAATGGAATAGCTGCTTATGATGGAATAAGTTTTGACTGTTAGTTTTGGGGGTTTGTGGTCTAAGATTAAGTTTGTTGGTAGGTTCAACTTCCTGGTATGGCTGAAAGGATGGCAGTGGCAATGCATGTGCAAAGGGGAAAAAAAATCACAAAACCAGCCAGGAAAGAGGAGTAGCCAGGCTCAATTCAGCTTTTTAACCAATCCTCTTGCTACAACTACCTTCCAAGGATACTCTTCCATGGCCCAAGGACCTCTGCAGGTCCTTCTGCCAACCCTCATGATTCAGTCATGTTTCTTCCATCCAGTTTATAACTTTGGTGTAAAGCATGAGTGTGAGTTTGTTAGCCAAATTATGTTCATGCCATAGAAATCAGAGCGGTTACAGGATTATTCTGGTAGAGCTTTCCCAGAATAAGGTAACTTTTGGTCCTCTAGAAAGTCAACCAGCAAAATCCCTTCAGCGTTTCCCCAAATGTTTCCATGGCGATACCAAGGTTTCTTTAAAGCATTGTCTCCGTAAGCATCAATTTTTTTCTAAAGCATCAAAGTTCCTTTTTTTTCATTCTCAAGCTTCACCATAAAACTCACGTTGCTGTGATAGTGTGTCTGAAACTGAAGTCTTATACTCTTTTTAGTAACTCATTATATCCTGTTTAAAAATGCTATCAAAAGTTAGTGCAAGAATGGAAGGGATACTGCTTTTTATCTGGTAAAGGCTAGCTTCATTTCTGAGATGATGAGGAGAGCAAGAAAAGGCACAGCATGTGCAGGAGAGAAAGTCAGTAATGTACTTAAAAAACAGTGAAAAGTCTCGGGGTCAATAACTTGAAGGGAATGAGCAAGGAGTGATTGAGGAGGCCAGAAGTTACTGGTGTATAGCAGGACCAACCAGGAGGTCATTATATAAGGCCTATGGATTAATATAAGCAATTTGATTTTCAGCTTAAATGAGAAGGGATTGTTTTTCAGCAGAGTTGGTAAGAGTGAAAATGACTTGGGCAATGCTTTGAAGATTGACAGTAAGCAGCAATGGCAGACATGGTAGTTGAAAAGACCAGTGAAGGTTCTATCTCTGTAATCAAATGAAGGGTGAAATCTATTGTCTTATTAAAAGTAAATGAATACATTGGATTGCTAGGATTGCTACAACAAAATACCAGACTGAGCGGCTTACAGTTTTATTTTCTCATGATTCTGGAGGCCAAGAGTTTAAGATTAAGGTATCGGTAGGCTTGTTTTGTTCTACATCCTCTTTCCTTGGCATGCGGCTGATTGCCTTCTTGCTGTGACATTTCTCTGTAGATATCACCTGGTGCCTTTTTTGTGTGTTAAAATTTCCTTTACAAGAATATCAGTCCTACCCTAAAAGCCTCATTTTAACTTAGTCATCTCAAAGGGCCCTATCTCCAAATACTTATATTTTGGGCTAAGATTTCATGAATTTTGAAGTACACAGTTCAGATCATTTGTATTATTCAGGTGAACAGTGATCTAAAAATACTATTAACTATAATTTTAGAAATAACCAATTCATTCATTTTAAATTTGTGTGTTTTGCGTAGCATGATGAAACATCATGTCGCATCATATTCTGTCCTTCATAGAATGTAAATCATCCTTTTGTGCAACATACCTACCTTGCTTACACTACTCATCCACTAGTCACTTCAGTGTTCACATCAGTTTCGATTTGTCAGGCTTCCACTATGGGTTTTGAGTGACATTGGTGGGGGATTATTGCATGTGTTCTTGGGAATTGTCTTTTCTCTCTTTCCCTTTAATTGGACAACTTTTATATTTTAAGTAGGGGTGTGTGTGTGTGTGTGTGTGTGTGTGTGTATTTCACTTATTGGACATACCTATTGAGCTGTAGTTGTTCTAAATAATACTTAAAACTGTAACAAAAAATGACAGTTGTCTATAGGAGAAATCTAAGAAAGGACTAAGATTAACATGCGTTTGCCCTTAGCCAGAAGACAGAAAAGCAATTAAGCTTAACATGCCAAAAGTTAATTTTACATGTTTAAGGCACTTGTATTGATTAGGTATTGGAGGGGTTATTTTTTTATTCTTATGTTGTTTCATGTGTATTCAAATTTGGCTATGGACTCAATGCCTTATAGCTTGGATGTATGAAGAAATGTGTCACAATTTGTCATTGTTAGATCTTACGCGTACAGGTTTTCTGAACCCAATAAAGATTTTCAAGCAAAATGACTAAATCTTTATCTGAACAGGTGTAGCAAAACATGTTGGTGATGCCCTTAAAGAACATGCTTCCAGATCATCTCGAAAAATTTGCACTATTGGAATAGCTCCATGGGGAGTGATTGAAAACAGAAATGATCTTGTTGGGAGAGATGTAAGAGTGATTTTGAAAATTTATTGTATTTGAATTTATATGTAAGCAAAATTATATCAAGAACCGAGTAAAAGTAAAAGTATTCATTCATAGTAATACCAGACTTTTAAAAATTTAAAAGTTTTTCTGTGGTTTTCTTTTGCTGCTCTTAAAAATGTGATAAACCTTCAACAATTGCTATTAAGTATAACATTAGTGCACAGATATTTTCTGTATCATGCCAGGCATAATTAAATTTTTAATGGCTTTGTGCATTAAGAATTAATTTTAGGGTCACTAAGAATAGGAATCAAATGGCAGTAATTTGAGTTAAACTCATATGAATTGGTTTATAAATATTTATCAATAGAATTGACTGTTAAAAAAACTACTTATTATCATTTTTCAAGTTATTTCAAATGCTAATTTTAAGGATTCTATTGAGTCAAAAAAGAAAGGTGACATTTCATTGGTTTTTCTCTATTTATATGTGCAGTTTTTTCTCCTTAATAACCTAAGAGCTTCTTTGCTTATTTACCTAAGTATTGTTTCCTCTTTCATGTGATGATTAAATACATAACTATGTAATAGAATCAAGATAACAATTGTGCAGTTCAGCCCCATTGTTGATTAATCCTCAGTTACTTAAAAAGTTGGGTTTCTTGATACATTCTTTGTAATTTATTTTAACATGTAAAAGAGTTTAACTCATCATTATAGATTCTTTGAAAATTTAGGTTGTATCATGCTATGGTTATTTAATCCTGTTCACTAACTCATGTTTATTATCATTTAGGTCGTTGCTCCTTATCAAACTTTACTGAACCCCCTGAGCAAACTCAATGTTCTGAATAATCTCCATTCCCACTTTATTTTGGTGGATGATGGCACTGTTGGAAAGTATGGGGCAGAAGTAAGACTGAGAAGAGAACTTGAAAAAACCATTAATCAACAAAGAATTCATGCTAGTAAGGGAATTCACCAATTATTATACCAATTACTTGGCATCTCTAGTAGGGTGTAGGGTGTTGTTTAAAGAGTTTTTCTCTTTACATAGCAAGATAACATATAAAACAATCAAAAATTGCTGATCTGAAGCCAAATGATAAGACCTAGGAAAATAGTCCTAGTTAGAGTAGATAAGAGTATCCGGGTATCAAGATGAAACCAGGGCCCAGCAGCATGGCCTAGCGGCTTAAGTCCTCGCGTTGAACGTGCCAGGATCCCATATGGGCGCTGGTTCTAATCCCGGCAGCCCCCACTTCCCATCTAGCTCTATGCTTGTGGCCTGGGAAAGCAGTCGAGGACGGCCCAAAGTTTTAGGATCCTGCACCCACGTGGGAGACCTGGAAACACGTTGCTGGCTCCTTGTTTTGGATCGACACAGCAACGGCCGTTGTGGTCACTTGGGGAGTAAATCATCAGGCGGAAGATCTTCCTCTCTGTCTCTCCTCCTCTCTGTATATCTGACTTTATAATAAAAATAAATAAATCTTTTTTTTTAAAAAAAGATGAAACCAAAGTGCATTAGAAATTGTGTTACTGGGCCCCGTGCAGAAGCCTAGTGGCTAAAATCCTTGCATTACAAATGCTGGGATCCCATACGGGCGCCAGTTCTAATCCTGGCAGCTCTGCTTCCCATCCAGCTCCCTGCTTGTGGCCTGGGAAAACAGTCAAGCACAGCCCAAAGCCTTGGGACTCTACACATACATGGGAGACCAAGAAGAATTTCCAGGCTCCTGGCTTGGCATTGGCTCAGCTCCGGCCATTACAGCCACTTGGGGTGTGAATCAATGAAAAATCTTCTTCTCTGTATATCTGACTTTCCATTTAAATCTTTTTTTAAAGGGACTTATTTTTTTTATAAAATTTGTGTTACTGTTGCAGCCCAAGAAATTTACATATAAGTATATTTTAAAAATAGTTACAGAGTAGAGACAGATCTGTCTGCTGGTTTGCTCCCCAGATAGGCTGTGAAGGCCAGAACTGAGTCAATCTGAAGGCAGAATCCTGGAGCCTTGTGCATAGTTCTGGGTCTCCCATATGGGTCAGGGACGGAAGGCCTGAGTCATCCTCTGCTGCCTCCCAGGTCGTAAGCAGGAAGCTGGATGAGAAGTGGAGTAGCTGGGACTAGGACTAGTGCCCATTTGAGATGATGGCACCTTGGACGTGCTTAGCCTACTACATCATGGCAGCAGCCTCTGAGTTCACAAATGTTTTTAAAATGAAATATATTCCAGTATAGGACTTTAACATCGAGATTGCATTACAAGGAGGAAAAAATTGTTTTGTTATTGAGTTAGAATTTTGTTTTTTAGTTTTTAGCCAAAGTGAATAGATTTTGCTTTGTGGCAGATGTGTCTTAGGAGATTCTGTTCTTGGAACTGACTTTTCTTTCCAACGATGGTTGGATTTTCTGGTTTAGTAATTCTATTTTATTTCAAATGTAAGAGATTTTATAACCTTAAGATATCAAGATATCTGTTGTGGTATAACAGATACAGCCTCCACCTGCCATCTTAGCCTACCTTTTGAGCACCTGTTTGAGTCCTGGCTGTTCCACTTCTGACCCAGCACCCTGCAAATGGCTTGTGAACAGACTGGAAGTTTACCCAAGTGCTTGGCTTCCTGCAATCCACATGGGAAACCCAGAAGAAGGGTTAGGCTTTTGGTTTCAATCTATCCCAGCCCTGAACATTGCTAACATCTTGGAAGTGAACTATTGGATAAAGGATGGATCTCCCTCCCCTGTCTCAATTCTTAATCTGTAATTCTGGCTTTCAAAAAAACAAAACATGAGGAAGGCAAATTGAATGACAGAGTCAGTTAGATTATGGTGGAACCAGAGCATTTGCTAAAAGTTAAGAACATTTTCAAATCCTAGCGTTAACATTTTTGTTTTTTCACTGCACTGTAGGTTATTTTAAAGTTGCTCTTCCCCACTGTACTTTTGTTGTTGTAACTAAGATAGAAACCTTGTTATTTTCTTGATTAGTCTGTTAATTCTGACTATAATTTGTGTAATGTCTCAGGTTAAGTTGCTGCTTTGGATACCCACATGCCATATTGGAGTTCCTGGGATCATGTCCCAGCACTCCACTTTGGATCCAACCTTTTGCTAAGTTGTCTGCAAGATAGCAAATTCTTGCCACTCATTTAGTAAGCATAGGTAGATTCTGGTTGCTGATTTCAGCCTTGCCTAGCCCTGGCTGTCATGGACAATGGAGCAGCAAACCCATGGGTAGAAGTTCAGTGTTTTTCTTTTTCTCTCTCTTTACCTTTCATATAAATAAGTAAATCATTAAAAAAATAAAAAAAGAGCTCAGTTGGCAAAAACAATACAGTAGTGTTTATGTGGCAGTGGATATATGTTGGGCTCTCATTTTGTCATTTAAAATTGATTTGATTGGTGACAGTTTATTCAGTTCTTCACTTATAGGAGACTAGTATCATGTTATGCTTGAAGTAAAGTGAAGCCAATATCATAAAAATTCTGTTTCGACTTTTATTTGAAAAGTTATTTTATCTGTTTTTAATTGAAGTTTTTTTTTTTTTTTTTTTTTTTTTTTTAAGGAATTTGCCAAGGTGTTCCTGTCGTGGCACTTGTATTTGAGGGTGGGCCAAATGTTATCCTTACTGTTTTAGAATACCTTCAGGAGAGCCCCCCTGTTCCAGTAGTTGTGTGTGAAGGAACAGGCAGAGCTGCAGATCTACTTGCATACATTCATAAGCAAACTGAGGAAGAAGGGTATGTGAATAATGAAATTTTAATATCTTTACTAAAGTGGCTGTGGTTTTAAATATTGGATTCCTTTTATTACTTATGAACATGAACATTTCAGTATTAGTATGATACGTGCTTAAAGCTTGAGAAACTAGCCTTGTATGTGACTATCTCATATACAGATTGAAAAGAATTAATACGTGGTACAACCGTCTTTTTAATAGATAATGTTTCACAGGATCCATCACATAATCAGAGGCATATGTCTTGATCTAGTAGTATAGAGACATGAAGTAAGAAGTAAAGTTACTTGCTACAGGGATTAGAGCACAGTATAATGTTTGTAAGGAGTAGATTAGAGAACCAAATTATCTACATCGCTACAGCTGCAGTGACATGTTTCATAATTGAGTAAAATTAAATTGTATTACATTTGGAATGATTATTGAAGTATGTGCATGGAAAAAAGGTGTAGAAAGTATATATATTTTAGTACTTTGTATATAAAGAAAAGGAAGAGCAAATAATTGTACAAATGAAGATTTAAGAACGCTGTACAAACTAGGGTCAGCGTTGTGGTGCAGTGTATTAAGCCACTGCCTGCAGTGCCAGTGTCCCATATAAATATATACTCAAGTCTTGGCTCTTCAACTTCCAGTCCACTTCCCTACTAATTTGCCTGGGAAGCAGAGGAAGAGGACCCAAATCCCTGGATCCCTGTATCAACAGGGGCCAAGTGAAGCTTCTGGCACCTGGCATTAGCCTGGAGCAGGCCTGGCCGTGATGGCTATTTGGGGAGTGAACCAGAAGATGGAAAATGTGTGTGTGTGTAGCTCTGTCTTTGAAATAAACGAAATCTTTTTGTGAAAAATTAGCAAACTAGTAGTGATTTCTGAAAATAGTTGAGATGAAACTGGCAGATAAAAGTTAGTGGGAAGGAGAGTTCCATAAGTCTTTGGATGTTTTGGTATTTTCTGTAAATACCAATGTATTTGTAAATGTATTACATGGTCTCAGAAAGAAAAATATGAATATGCTCAGTTAAAACTTTTGAAAACATTGCTTTATTTGCCATATAATATCTTAAAATTATCTTTATGAAGTAGTGTTCTAGTATTATAGCACATACTGTGTAAAAAAAATTCATGGAGCAATTAAAAAAAAAATTACTCCTATTTTGTTTCTCCCTAAGATTTATTGGGGAAATTTTATTATAGAATTATATATAGAAAATATATGTAGAATACAATATAGAATTATTTTCTGTCCAAAATTAAATATTTATTATTAGTATGGTATCAGTATTTCCAAAGGTTTTAAATGGATCCACCTATGTTTCATGTTGATCTTAAAAAATAGTAGAGAATGAAGTTAGTGAATGATTGTTTCTTATTCCAGGAATCTTCTTGATGCTGCAGAACCTGATATTATCTCAACCATCAAGAAAACATTTAACTTTGGTCAGAGTGAAGCGGTTCATTTATTTCAAACGCTGATGGAGTGCATGAAAAAAAAGGAGCTTGTAAGTAGATTTTAGAATACGCTTCTTTTTTTCAACACATTTTCTGAATTGATGAAATACTTTTGTTTTTAATTTGTGTTTTACATTTTAAAATCTTCTAAAACCATTTAAGAAGATATTTATTGGTCTTTTCAATTTAAAAGGTGTCATCAAAGGAAGACTGATTTTTGTATTTCAGATGACATGTTAACAAATTATGTTCAGGTCTAGAAAGAACTGTAAACGTTGTCAATGGCTGCTCTAAAAATTTTTCTTGAAAAAAATTCTAATCAGTTTTACTTTTTAGTTTTTAAGCCTGCTGAATGAAAGATTAGTGCTGCGTAGTTTTACTGATGAGGCTAAATTTTCCTGAATAAGGGCTTAAAACAGTTTGATGCCTAGGTAGATAGGTGATAGATACATGATATAAATAACATATGTGTTTTTCATTGCACCTTTTCTTCAGAGTTAGAGAGAAATCTTCCATCTGCTGTTTCACTCCTCAGTTGGCTGCACTGCTAGGGCTAGCCAGGCTAAAGCCAGAGGCCATCATCTTCTTCCACATCTCCCATGTGAGTGCAGGGGCCCAAATAGTCCATCTTCTGCTGCTTTCCCAAGCGATTAGCAGGGAACTGGATAGGAAGTCAGTGTGGTGTCCATATTGGATTACCAGCATTGCAGGCAGTGCTTAACTTGTTATGACACAACCTGTGGTTGCAAGTTTTTGTGCAGTACGTGTTGAAGAAATGATAAAATTTAACTCTGAAAAGTAATCTATAACTTTAACCATCAGTTACTTACCGTAGCAAGGGGTAAAATGTAGATCAGAAAAGAAAATATGGGGATAGGCTTTGTGGTGGAGCAGGTTAAGCCACAGCTTGTGATTCTATCATTTCATATCAGAGGGCCAGTTTGAATTCTGGCTGCCATGTTTCTGATCTGGCTTCCTGCTAATGTGCTGGAGTAGGCAGAGAACGGTTGTCCGAATATTTGAATCTCTAAAATCTGTGTGGTGGTGGAGAACAGGGTAGGATTCATGATTCCTGGCTTCAGCCTAGCTCAAACCTGGCTGTTGAAAACCTGTAGGGAGTAAATCAGCAGGTAGAGAATCTCTCCCTTTCTCTGTCACACTTCCTTTCAAGTTAATAAATGAATCTTTTTAAAAAGATTCAATATTATTATACTTGTATTTTATTTGATAAATGATATATTTTAACTTTCTGGTTTTCTTTAAAAATTTTTTTTTATTAAAATGAAGTTATTTCTGTCCCCTGCCCTGTAAGATACATGTGTTTTTCTTCAAGTGTAGTTTAAAATTGCTTTGTTTTATGCTCTTACTTTAAAATATGAAAGTATGATGTTGGAAATTACTTTTTATAGATCACTGTTTTCCACATTGGATCAGAGGAGCATCAAGATATAGATGTAGCAATACTTACTGCATTGCTGAAAGGTAAAGTTTTTAAAACTTCTTAACTTGTAATGTTTAATTTATGGCCTTTTCTATAGGCTATAAGTTTTAAATTTGGAGAAGTGCTTGGAAAGCGAGGTTTTCAATAATTTTTCTTTGTAAAAGTATGTTGATTTTCATTGGTGGCAAATTAGGTTTTTGTGTTTTTCTTGTAGAATTATTTATTTTGAAATGTTATAATAGGATTTATTCTTCCAGATTTGTTTAATTATCTTTTTTAGATTCTTAGCTGAAAAATGTTTGAAAGTCATAATGTATTAGGTGATAGAAATTAAAGATGGATTCTTCATCAGGCCCTTCCATTTTGAAGTGAAAATTTGAAAACTGTTAGTGTCTTACAGAGCTAAGGAATTGATTTACATACCATACTGAGTTTTTTTCCTTTCACTTTCTCAACAAAGGTGTTCATCTAAGGCAACAATTAATCGCCCATGTATCAGAAATTGTTTTAAAGAAATATGGAATGCTTTATGAATTTGCTTGTCATATTTTTGCAGAGGCCATGCTGCTCTGCTCTGTTGCTCCAATTTTTAGTTCCTGAAGAGAGTGCACATCAGGCATTTTTATAAAATGAAAGCAAATAATTTTTATTGGTTATCTTATTCTGTTCCTAGTATATCCATAAGAGGCAGAATTCCTTTTATTTTTTCATGTTTTAAATGAGGAAGTTAGGTACAGATATACTCAAGTGGAGAAATTACAAGGAGCTATTATTATAAATGAGTGAGAGAAAGATGAATTTATGTAAAAGACACCAGTGGAAGAACCCAAATCTTGGGAAAGTGGGAGAATAATCGCCATGACGGTAAATAAATAAAATAGATTTTTAGTAAGTCTTCCCTTCATCCTCCCCTCCCCCAATGGCATGTAGAGAAAGGGGTAGCCTCAGGTTCCTGCTGGATATTATAAGCTTTCTAAATTATATTTTAGGAGTAAGTGGCATTATTTGTAATAGTAGAACCTGCACAAAAGTGTTAACTGTTTACCATTTGGAGTGTTTGTTGAATCAGTTGTGATTTGCTTCTAAAAGGTATCAATATATGAGTGTGAGGCACATCTAAGTATGATGTGAGGAAAACTGAGGTATAACGTTAAGAGCAGGCTGCTGAACTCTTTGTGTAGGGTAATCTCATTTTTAGATAAATAAAGTATATGAATGAGCTTAGAGACACACAGAAAAGCACTTTAGAGTATGATTAAAATAGATCATGCTTCTGTATTTACTTTTATTTTTTCTTCATTTCTGGTTGTTTGCAGTGAATGCATTTGTCCCACATTTTACTTGGGAAGTGAAATTCCTTAACCTGGTGTTTTTCCTTCTGAATGGAGGCTTAGACCAATTATTAGTAAGGTGTGGTGGGGTGTTGTGTGTACGTTCATATTTTAGCTGAAATGAATTAGTTGATCTTGCCAAATCTCTCTTTTACTAGGTACTAATGCATCTGCATTTGACCAGCTTATCCTTACACTGGCATGGGACAGAGTTGACATTGCCAAAAATCATGTGTTTGTGTATGGACAGCAGTGGCTGGTAAGCAAATAACTTATATATACAATGTAAACTAAACAGTACAGTTGGTCTTTGTTCTGCATCCATTGATTAATCTGTTCTTGGATTGCATACTGATTGTTTTGTTTCCACTGTACTGAATGTATTGCTGACTTTACTATTCCTGTCTCCTAAATAACACATGAAAGCAACTATTTATTTACATAGTATTTACATGTATAAGATGAGTAATTAATTTACAAATGATTAAAAGTATTAGGAGAATATAGGCAGGCTATATGTAGATACTACACCATTTTACATGTGTGAATTTTGTTACCCAAAGAAATGTCCTGGAATGAGTACTTCCATGAATACTGAATGGTAATTATAGTGATAAATTATTTGCAGAAACTGTTCTAGCCAGATAAAGTTTCTGCTGAAAACACAAAATGGATTTGATTAAACATTTCCACAGTGTCCAGATTCATTTATGGTTTAATAAATTATATTTACCTCTTGATAAAAGCTTGCTTTTAAAAAAAAGATCTAGGTATCTGTTAAATGCCTGGACTTGACAGGATCCTTGAAGCTAACTTTTCCCCTGGATCTTTAGACCTGTTCCTTTGGTGCTCTTTCCCCTCCTACTCAGTGGGAGCAACTTCTTCACCCATGTGAGGCTTTGCTATCCTGTTTTACTCTTCAGTTTTTTTGTATATTCCAATCTACTTTCACCTGTTGTCTCCACATTCAATATATCTAATCTTTTTAAAAAATATTTTTATTTTTATGATTCATTATCTGATTTTAATATCATGATCCAAGCTATCATCACCTTTTTTTGTGTGTTATTGAACAGTAACATTCTCTTCAGTTTTACTACAGTGATTCTTCCTCTCCTTTTTCAGACAAAAGATGGATCACGTCAAGTTTACCCAGATCACAGTCTTTCAAGTAGCCTTTTTGGCCTTCTTGCTTTTCTTTGAGCTTCCCATGTTCTCAGCTCTGTCTGGAACACTCTTATCTAACTCTCCACCTGGTTATACTTCTGTATTTCATCTAATTGTCTCTTTTTTGATAACATCTCCATTTGCCAGCAATTTCTGTTCTCCTCCCCCCTTTTTTTTATCATTTTACTAACAGTTATCACCACTGAACAAATCATATAAGATAGCTATTTATTTATTACTTACCTTTGCATCAGTAAACAAATTTTATGAAAGTTGGAAAACTTTTGTTTACTGCTGTAATTGTAGCCTGGTATTTAGTAAGCAGTTGTTAAATTTTTGTTTAGATGTCTGAATCCATCAGAGGTTGGATAAATTAAATGTTCATTTGTGTCCTGGAATTTTTCCAGCCTCTGTAAAGAATGAATTAGATCTTTTCTGTCTACATAGTGAATGTAAGTTGCAAATTGCTGAAAAGTATATGTACTTTGATCTTAGTGGTAGTAAATTATCTTTATGAATGCATAAATGTGCATATCTGTGTGGTGATAATGAGATATTTAGAGAAAGGATTAGAAGAGAAAGTTTTATTTACTATTTGTAGTATCCATTTTTTTTTTTTTAAATAGTGCTATAATGGTAAAGAAATTGTGAAGTCATATCTCCTCTTGTACTGCAGAGAAATGGGTGCTTGTCACCTGTGGTAAAACACAAATCTAGAAACTAAACTTTTATTCCCTTATGATTTCAATTGAATTTTGAACTCAGATTTAAAGATTTGGAGGAAGCCTGTCTTCTGTAGGTGTTGAATTTTTATTTGTTTTAGAAGCAAAGAGAGGGAGGAAACCAGAGAGAGGACAAGTGCGCTTGTTTCCATCTGCTGGTTCATTGCACACAGCCCAGCTAGCTGGGAACTCGCTCTAGGTATGTGTATTGATGGCAGGAACCCAATTGCTTCAGCCGTTACTGCTTCCTCCCAGGGTCTGTGTTAGTAAGCTGCTGGAATCAGGATCTAGAGCCAGAAATTGAAGTCGAGCTTTCCACCATAGGATTTAGATAACAACTAGGCTAAAATTTTGCCCCTGTCTTTTGTATTTATAATTTGTGTCTTGGATTTGTTGTGCATGTTACCTGTTTCATTTGTGCCTCATACCAAACTCAAGAGTTTGCAGGACGCTTGTTTCAGTTTTTCCTTTTTATTGCAAGACGTTAGTATGCATTTTGTGAGGAAATTCTGAGTACAAAGGAGATTTTTTTTTCGACTTTTTGCTTGGATGTGCAGGTTTTGTCAGGCTTTGTTATAACAGTTATAAACCCTGTTAAGTAAATTTTCATTCCTTGTATTAAAGCAAGAATTTTGTTGTGGTGTTTATTGTGCTAAAATGAAATTTTATAAATGTTATCTAAATAGCAGTGTAATGCTGTAATTGCTTTTTTAAAAAGGCAAAGAAAAGTAAATTATAATGAAAAAAAAGTATTTCACTTTGTGTTTGTTCAAGAATGGCCTTATATTAATCTAATTATTCTAAAACTATTCATGAACAAATAGCTGTAAATTCTATGGATTTAAATTTAGAAGTATTTGTGTAATTGGTACATGTGAAATGTATATATTTAATTAATAAGTTAATTTTTAATTTATTCTTTCAGGTTGGTTCTTTAGAACAAGCTATGCTTGATGCTCTTGTAATGGATAGAGTTGCATTTGTGAAACTTCTTATTGAAAATGGAGTAAGCATGCATAAATTCCTCACCATTCCAAGATTGGAAGAACTTTATAACACTGTAAGTCATTGTAAAAATTTTTAATGGGGGGAACAGCGTCTTAGTGAAATTTCTTTATTTTATATTTTGTTCATTTTGTTTACATAGTTGACCATGATGAGACTGTTGTTTCCAAATCTTCCCTCTTTTCCTCTTATATCTGGAAGGATGTTGGTGGAGGAGCTGCACCTGGGCTAACTGCCACCCCAGTACCAGGGGATGGAGAATGGCTACTTGATGCCATCCCAAGGTCCCTGATGTGTGGGACCTGCTCCAAGGATTCCGCTTGAGTGCTTTTGATAATTCTGAAATGCTGTTGATTTCGCCAATTCAAGGATGAGGAAATCCTTCCAAGGGCTGTCTGCTAGCATAGTCCACTCCAGAGTCCCCATTACCCAGATATTTGTTGTCAACACCTGGCTGGGGTAGTTGACCAATTTGTTCCGCTCTCTTTCCTCTGCTATGGTACCAGATGTCCTCTGCAGGCCCAAATGGAGTGCCATATTCTCCATGTGCATCTGGGTATGCCGTCCACTGGTCCTTCTTAGTCACTGAGAAGGTTCAGTTCTGATACATGCACTCCATGATCAGACCACAGATCCTGCCATCCGCCTCATGATTGGAGTTCTGAGTCCAGCCGTTCAACGGGGAGGATACCCACAGAAAGCTCACCTGAGGCGATCCCAGACCTGACTCTTATGTGTGATTGCCAGTAAGGGTCCAGCTCAGTCCATCATTCTTGTCAGCCTACACTCACAAACACACACACTAGTAGGTACAGTGCTGCATTAGTTCTATTTCTGGCCTTTTCTCTTATGTAAACTGATACATGTTGTAGCCCAGCCCAGCTTTGACCACGACACACCATCCCTCACGTTGACCAGCAGGAATGTCAGGGTGACCTGCACTGGACCATGTCCCAGCCCTGGGTCCTTTTTTAAATGTATTTATTTTCTTTTAAAAAAAGATTTAAATTTATTATTATTATTATTTGGAAAGGTAGATTTAAAGAGAGAAGGAGAGACGGGGAAAAAGTTCTATGGAAGATCTGTTGGTTTCCTCCCTGTATAGCCACAACGGCCAGAACTGAGCTGATCTGAAGTCACAACCAGGAGCTTCTTCCAAGTCTCCCATGTGGGTGCAAGGTCCCAAGGCTTTGGCCTGTCCTCTACCGCTTTCCCAGGCCAGAAGCAGGGAGCTGAGTGGAAAGTGGAGCAAATAGGATACGAACTGGTACCTGTATGGGATCCTGGTGCATGCAATGTGAGGACTTTAGCTACCATGCCGGATCCCCAGTCCTTTTTCCTATGCTTCCATGTATATGCAGCAGACTGGTCCCAGGTTGTCCTGCATCCCATTCAGCTGTCCTGTACACCCATGGGTGTTGAAACTTAGCTCAGCCCTTCTGTCTTTTATTCTGTCTGTCATTCTGCCTTTAATATAAATAAATAAATAAGCAAACAAATATTTTTTTAAGAAAAGATTTTATTGGAAAGGTAGATTGGATTTACGGAGAGTTGGAGAGACAGAAAAATCTTCAATCTGCTGATTCATTCCCCAAATGGCTTCTTCTGGGTCTCCCACGCGGGTACATGCTCCCAAGACTTTAGGCCATTCTCTGCTGCTTTCCCAGGCCACAAATAGGGAGTTGGATGGGAAGTGGAGCAGTTGGGACACAAACTGGCACCCATATGGGATCTCAGCACTTGAGCCATTTAGCCATTGAGCCATTGTGTCAGGTGCTAAATAAATAAATTCTTAAAAGAAAAAAAGGTAATTTTTGAAAAAAATGTAATTTATTCACAAGGTGAAGTGGCAGAGATATTCTGTTTGCTGGTTCACTTCCCAAGTGACCATTACTGCCAAGGCCTTCTCAGGCTAAAGCTATTCTCCAAACTTCCTTTCAGTTCTCTGGGTGACAGGGACCCAAGTAGCTGACCATCTTCTACTTTCCCAGACCATTAGCAAGAAGCAGGATCAGAAGTGGAGTGCTAGGACTTGAACTGCCATTCTAATATAGGATATCCTGTCTCCAGTGTCAAAGTGAGAGCTAATTTGAATGCAGTATTGATTGTTACATTAGATATTATGTGAAATTTGAAAGCTAGGAATATCAAAAAGAATGTTTTCCCCCCAAGTATTACTAAATGTACCCAGTTAGATTTGAAAATACATCATTGTGTAGATATGATCAAACTGGGAAGGTAGGTTGAATTGATTGCTAGTATTAAACTCATAAAAATTGGCAGTAACATTGTATGGTTAAATCATTCCCATGATTCTGTTAAGCAGTAAGATTTAAAGTATAAATCTTCTAATGTGTTTCTCAGAGAATTCATCACATTAAGTTGTATTTAAGTTGGAGCACTGCATTTAAGATACATTTTTTTAGGGGCCGGCATTCCCATGTGGGTGCCAGTTTCAGTCCTGACGGCTCTGCATCTGATCCAGTTCCCCGTTAATGGCCTGAGAAAGCTGGAGGGGATGGCTCAAGGCTCTGGGCCCCTGCACCCGCCTGGGAGACCTGGAAGGACTTGGTGGCTCCCAGCTTCAGATTGGCCCAGCCCTAGCCCTTGTTGTCATTTGGGGAGTGAATTAGTGAATGGATGATCCCTCTTTGTCTCTCCTTCTCTCTAACTCTGTCTTATAAATAAACAAATCTTCAAGGGGAAAAGCGGGAAAAAAACAGTGCAGAAATTTCTAAAGTCCATAGTTTTTTCGTATACATTTCCGTAGAATTTTTAGTGATTCCTGTATCTTTTCCCCCATTTTATGAATAGAACTTGAAAACAGTTTAATTGTACACAATGTTCATGAAAACTTTAAAAGTAATAAAAGGAGCAAGAAGTTATTTTATAAGAAAAATAACAGTTTGCTTTAATGTTTTTCTCCCTGAAGAAACAAGGACCAACTAATCCAATGCTGTTGCATCTTATTCGAGATGTCAAACAGGTAAGAAGAAAGTTTATTTTTAAAGTTTTTTCCCCCCGAACCCCCTAAAGTCTTGTTTTTAAAAATCACTTGGCAGGACATCTGTTCCTGAGAAAATCAAGCAGAAGGAAAGTTTTTAAAGTAAAAAGCAAGTTTCCAAGCTTCTTTGGTCCAAGATAGAATGCCATGGCTTTTATGCATATTTATCCATAAAAAGCAGATCATTGATAGAATGTTTTCTGAAAAATATATTCCTAGAAGTTTGTTCAAATATAAAGGAAATTGATAAGAAGTTGAGGGAAGTTCAAGGTAGATTTAGTGAATAAAAATGGTATAATACTCTCCCTGTTGTAAAGTAACCTACTATAGTAACTGAATGTGCAGTACTGTTGTACGAGCTAAAGCTGTTTTTGTGGTGACCAAATGCTATGCCTCTTCTGTTAAGATTTTTGTAGATTTATAGTGTTAAATCTTTACCAGCATTTTTATAGCCAAATTATGGGTATCCAGTATGGTTTGTTTCAGTTAGCTATCTTAACTATGTTTCAAATTTCTAGACTAAGCCCTCTCATCCAAAAATTCTTCATTTACTTGAGCTCTTGATAGTTACTATTCTTTCACTGTTAAAAACCAGAAACAAAATAGAAATGTCATTTTTAATTTCATGTAGTTGGTATGTTGTAATATTAAACTAGTACCTCATAGGAAGAACTTAAGACATTCTTATAACTTTTAAAGTTTCTTTTTGGACCAGCTTTGTGGCATAGCCCATACGAGCTGTTCCACTTCTGACTCAGCTCCCTGTTGATGTGCAAGGGAAAGCAGCAGCAGATGACCTAAGCAATCCCTGCCACTCACATAGGAGACCCAGAGGAAGCTCCTGGCTCCCATGTTTGGCCTGAGTCTGGTGGGGTTTTTAAGACCACCTGGGGAGTGAACCAGCCGACAAAAGGTTTCACTGTAAACTCTACTCTGTCTTTCAAAGAAATATTGTTTTAAAAATCATTCAAATAAATATAAAAAGCAGTTTTCTGTAATTCAATATTTTGTATACAGTTTCTTGTGCAGCTTTATTGAGTTGTATTTCACACACCATATAATTAATTCATTATAAGTGGATGTCATTGACTTGTATATTCACAACATTGTGCTATCATAGCTGAAGTCTAATGTTAAAGCATTAACTAGCTCAAAGTATCTGTGTACTCATTAACAGTGACTGTGTACTCATTAACAGTGACTGTCCTGCTGCTTCCCTACATACCCCGACCCCAGACAACAGTTGCAGGTTTCGGGGGTCTGTACATTTCCTATTAATCTGATTTTTAAAAAGTGATTAAAACTTTCGACCCCAAATTTGAGTAGTTGTGAGACCTTCAGGCCGGGAGTTCATAAAACATTTTCATTACTCACCATTTGCATATGGTTTAGCACAAAGCAGAATTAATGTTTGGAAACAAATGTGACTGGGTATATTGATTAACTATGATTAAAAGACCTTTGCACCAGCATCCCAAATAGCTGCTGGTTCAAGTCCCATCTGCTGCACTTTGAATCCATGCCCCTGCCTTTGACATGAGAAAACAGTAAGAGATGGCTTAAGTCGTTTGGCCCCTCTACCAACATGGGAGCCCTAGAAAAAGTTCAGATTGGTTCAGCTCAGTTGTTGCAGACATTTGGAGAGTGAACCAATGGATGAAGAAATCTGTCACTCCTAAATCCCTATCTCTGCTTTCTCCATAACTCTGCCTTTCAAATAAGGAAAAATCTTTTTTTAATTTCTTTTCCAATTTTTTGAAAGATTTATTTATTTTATTGGAAAGGCAGATGTACAGAGATGAAGAGAGACAGAGAGAAACATCTTCCATCCGATGATTCACTCCCCAAGTGAGTGCAATGGCTGATCCTATGCCAATATGAAGCCAGGAGCCAGGAACTTCTTTCCAGGTCTCCCGTGTGGGTGCAGGGTCCCAAGGATTTGGGCCGTCCTTGACTGCTTTCCCAGGCCACAAGTAGGAAGCTGGATGGGAAATGGAGCTGCCAGGATTAGAACTGGTGTCCATATGGGATCCCGGCGTGTTCAAGGCGAGGACCTTAACCATGTCGTGCTGGGCCCTATTCCAATTTTTTTATTGGAAAGACATTTTTACAGAGAGAAGGGGAGACAGAGAGAAAGATATTCCATTCTCTAGTTCACTCCCTAAGTGGCTGCTGCAGTGGCTAGAGCTGAGCCTATCCAAAGCCAGGAGCCAGGAGCTTCTGCTCCCACACAGGTGCAGGGTCCCCAGGCTTTGGGCAATTTTCTGCTGCTTTCCCAGACTACAGCAGGGAGCCTGATAATTGGAACAACCAGGACACGAACTGGAGCCCATATGGGATCCCAGCGGTTATCAGGCAAAAAATTAGCCACTAGGTCTGTGTGCTAGGCCCAGAAAAAAAAATTTTTTTTTTTAATTTAGTGTTTAAGTATTAAAGGAAGTAGTTGAATATTTTCTGATTCCAATTAGTAAGATGGATTTTGCAAGAATTGACAGTGTGGTTTGAAAATTTGCTTATAATATGTTTTTTATTTTTAAGGATAATGACATTTTATTTTAAATGTTTCCCATCTAGTGGGCGTGTATCATAAATGGTATGTTAGGTTTCTTAAGAAAATAAATTCTTTTTAAAAAAGATTTTTTGGAAAGGCAGAGCAACAGTGAGAGAAGAGATTTTTCTTTAAAAAAAGATTTATTTATTTTATATTTATTGCAAAGTCAGAGGAGAGACAGAGAGGAAGATCTTCCGTCCAATGATTCACCCCCCAAGTGAGTGCAACGGCCGATGCTATGCTGATCCTAAGCCAGGATCCAGGAACTTCTTCTCGGTCTTCTACATGGGTGCAGGGTCCCAAAGCTATGGGCCGTCCACAACTGCTTTCCCAGGCCACAGGCAGGGAGCTGGATGTTAAGTGGAGCTGCCGGGATTCGAACCAGTGCCCACATGGGATCCTGGTGCGTTCAAGGCGAGGACTTTAATCGCTAGGCCATGCCGCCGGACCCAGAAGAAGAGATTTATATTTGTAGAGATCATCTACTTACTGGCTCATTCCCCAAACTGCTTCAACAATTGTATCCCAGCCAGGGAGAAGCCAAGAGCTAGAAACTCTGTCCTGTCTCCCCCGAAGGTGGGAAAGGCCCAGGAGTGTGATCCATCGTTTGTTGCCTTCCCGAGCCAATCTTCATCAGTAGTAGGAAAACCAGCACTGAAACCTGCATCCTCCTTTAGAATGTCAGTGTTGCAAGCTACAGTTTAACTTGCTGTGCCACAATACCAGCTCTTATAACAAAAATCTTGTACTTTGCATAGAAGTAAGTGTTTTAGTCATTTTTCAAATTTGAGGTGCAAGGATACACCTAGAAACCACACAGATAATAAAATATTAAATGTATTATTAAAAGATAACAGATCTATATAATTAAAATCTAGTACATGAAACAAATGGTGATGATATGATATTTAGTTAATACAGATCATCCGGTGATCAAATTGCTTGCTTAATGAAATTAGCCAGTTTTTCAATTCTGAAACAGTCCACTTTTCTAAACTTAAAAGTGATTTATGTTCTAATGCTATATTAAAGTGAAGTCTTAGCTCTTAGCAGTTTTGTAAAAGGCATTCAAGCACCCAAAGAAGACTATAAAAATTTGTCTGGGCCTAGTGTAGTGATTCAATTTGCTAATTTTCTCCTTGCAAGCACTGAAATCTCATGGGCACCAGTTCATGTCCTGGCTGCTCCACTTCCCTTCCAGCTCCCTACTTGTGACCTGGGAAAGCAGTGGAGTATGACCCAAAGTCTTGGGACCCCGCACCCATGTGGGAGACCCGGAAGAAGCGCCTGGCTTCTGTCTTGTATTGGTTCAGCTCCTGCCGTTTTGGGGGGATGAACCAGCAGATAAAGATCTTTCTGTCTCTCCTTCTCTGCAAATCTTTAATATATCCAGTGTAATTTTGGTTAAAAAATAACTTCCAGGCATTTTAGAGCTGGTCTGAAATCATAGTTGATACTTTTATAACATTTTTTGAGAATTCATTTTGTTGTATGTACTTCAGTGAATGGAGTATGTGGCTGACAGTTTCAGTGCCTTTTTGTATGATGTATTGGTGCAAATAAAGAGATACTGTACCTTTCTGCTTTAGGTCATAACGTCTGTTTTTCCCAGGCCACAGTTTGAGACCTCAGAGCTCCAGAATTCATCCTTTCTCTCTTTTTTTAATTATTATTATTTATTTTTTAAATTATTGATTACATTGTATTATGAGACACAGTTCCATAGGTACTGGGATTCCCCCTTCCCTTCCCACAACCCTCCCCTCATGGTGGACTCCTCCACCATGTTGTGAGACCTCAGTTCAAGATCAGTTGAGACACCTTCATTGTAAGCATATACCAAGCATAAAGTCCAGCATCTTATTATCCGTATAAGTTCATCTGCGTCTTGGGGAGACCTTCTCTGGTCTGAAGGTCGGGCCAAGAGAGCAAGATCCCGATCAGTTTAAAGCCTCAGCAGCAACAATATATATCGTTATGGAATTAATTGACATAGTGTTGAGTAAACAATATGTTAAAAAATATGTAAGTTCTTAACAACCTCCTGCGACTATTTCAATGACATTTTAACAATTAAGGTGCAAAACAGCTTTAGAGGGGATATGCAGAGAAATCTCTCATACCTTGGTGAGGGATACTTGTTCTTTGTGTTCTACCTAGTAGGGTATGTGTGAGTCCATGATGACCAATCTTTCTTCTTTGTTGTTCTCTGCTTATATATTCCTATTTGTGTGTGTATGTGAGTGTGTGTGTGCGTGTGTATTTGGGGGCGGGAGTCTGGAGCGACCCTGTTGGTCATTGTAGAGGGTGGGGGCCCAGAGCTGGAACTAAGTAAGGACTGGAGAAAGCTCCTCTCCCTTGTCCTGAAGGAAGTTTATTGTTCTTCTGATTCTGAGGACCGCTCGTGGTTCCTGCCTGTTGTTCTGATGACATTGGATCCTATGAGGAAGGACTTGGGCTTCTTCCATCTCGTGTAGTATGTCCAAAGAGGGTGGATGGATGTCCTCTGGGTTCTTGGTCTCCGAAGGCATTCCAGTTCCCCGTGTTCTCTTTGGCAGTTGTGATGAAGTCCTTGGTGCCCGTTCTGATAGACCTTGGTGGGAATCTGGGAGTCCTTACGATTGGGATGCAAGCCTCCTCCTGTCCTGCTGCTCCGCTCTGGGGCTCTCCCCTGTTCTGTGCATATGACCCCTTGATAATAGATTATTAGGGTCGCTCCTGATTCCCCTTGTATGTCTTTGTAGTTTTTACTATTGTCTAATGCTGTTCTGAATCTATCGTCTGTAAGTTGCCTGTCCAGTTCCTGCAGGCTTCTTCACACATTCAAAGGAGATGAGAGATTTCTCTGTGCTCCCACCCAATTTTTGTGTATCCAAGGAATTGGGAGTGTATTGGGTATTACAATCATTCAAAACACATGGGTTGAGACTGTATTAGTTGCAGGTTCATCTGAGGAAGATTTACCATCATTGGGAATCATTAGGGTTGTTTCGCGTCCCCAAAGCACTGCTGGTTCAGCATGGAGCTGTCTGAGCAGCATTCAGAGAACCAAAATCCCAGGGCTCCCTGGCTGGGTGGCCAGCAGGCAGAGCCATGCGCCAACTGGCGCACTGGCCGCCTGGAGCAGCTCCCGATGTGGGTGTGGGAGCCGCCTTGGTGCTTACCAGATTAGAAGTGGCCGGACCCAGAGACCCCCAGCTGCCACATGGTGGCTGAAGAACCAAGCCTCCCAATTCATCCTTTCTTTATTCCTTTCTTCTTTTTTGCTTGTTTGCTTTCTTGCTTTTTTAATATTTTTACCAATGGAATAGTATTTATTATTACTATTATTATTTTCCATTATACAGTTTTGTAGGTATATGCCTTCTCTGTGACTACTCTTTTCTCCCCAACCTTTTTCCATATATCTCCCAATAATATAGTCTTTCAGGTGCAGTCACAACAGAATCCTTTCTTAGAAAGCACTCCCATTTCCTGTAAAGCATAACTGATAGCAACCCCAAGTTGTTGCTACTCATGGTCATTTAACATTTTGAAAAATAGATCTATTAGTCATGGCATGGCAATATGAAGAAATACTGTTATATATATTTAAAATATTTTATTTCCAGGGAAATCTTCCTCCTGGATATAAAATCACTCTAATTGATATAGGACTTGTTATTGAATATCTCATGGGAGGAACCTACAGATGCACCTATACTCGGAAACGTTTTCGATTAATATATAATAGTCTTGGTGGAAACAATCGGGTATGTAAAGCTTGGGGGGTGAGTATCTGTATGTGCTTTAGAACTGTTTTATTTTTTACGTTTGAAGGACCAGCTCTTGTTCATTAATCCATACACTTTAAATGTTAAGAATTAGATATGTTAGAAAGATGAGAAGAACATTGTCTTATAATTGAGGGACTTTAAACAGCCAGTTAGAAGCATTTGGCAAACAAAATCCCAAACCAACCATGTATGTGTATGTATACACAAATATTTTACAGAGGTAGATGAATATACTCTTGAATTTTTATAGCATTTCAGGATTATTTAAAGCTGTAAAATCTAATAGTCTTTCATTTTCAGAGATCTGGCCGAAATACCTCCAGTAGCACTCCTCAGTTGCGAAAGAGTCACGAGTCTTTTGGCAATAGAGCAGATAAAAAGGAAAAAATGAGGCATAATCATTTCATTAAAACAGCACAGCCCTACAGACCAAAGGTATATTTAATTATTCTCTTTCTGGTTTTTGATTTTGTTCATTTTCAATTCTTGAGTCATAAACCAAAAAATACTTTTCAGTAAGAATTTTTTAATTTTGATATTTCTGTGAATCTTCATTTCTCCATATGCAAAGGTATTCCTTGTGAGTTAATGATTCACATAAACTTTACATAGTTTACTTTGATAATAACTACAAAATACATTCATAAATGTTTCATTATATCCCATTTTTACTTAAGAACCTGCAAAACAGGTATCATCAAACATTTATTAAAGTTTTATCAGGTATTGACTGAAATATTTAGACATTTTAATTTGGGGGATTTGTTACAAATATTGTTGAAATGACATTGTTGTAAAATGAATTGTAGGTTACAGTAGAAGTATTTTATAAAAATAAAATTTATAAAGTTACGTGTGATTTTATAAAGTTGAAAAATTGGGCTAAATGTATTTGACAAAAACTGCACTAACATGAGTAACATATGGCCTTATTATAATGGGCCTTATAGCATTTATTTTCTCTTAAAGATTGATACAGCTGTGGAAGAAGGAAAGAAGAAAAGAACCAAAGATGAAATTGTAGATATTGATGATCCAGAAACCAAGCGTTTTCCTTACCCACTTAATGAATTGTTAATTTGGGCTTGCCTTATGAAGAGGCAGGTCATGGCCCGGTTTTTATGGCAGCATGGTGAAGAGTCAATGGCTAAAGCATTAGTTGCCTGTAAGATCTATCGTTCAATGGCATATGAGGCAAAGCAGAGCGACCTGGTAGATGATACTTCAGAAGAACTGAAACAGTATTCCAAGTAAGTAATATTTTTCAATTTGAAAGCATCTTTTAAAAAAAATATTTATTTTTACTTCAAAATCAAGTATAGAGTGGCTTAATCCCCAATTGACCTTAACAAACAGCTGGGTGGTCTAAATCTGGGAAAATATAATATATGGGTCAGCATTCTAGCCCAATTGAAGACTTGCATTTCTGATCCAGCTCCCTTCTACTCTCTCGGGAAAGCAGTGAAGGTAGCCCAGGTGCTTGTGCATTTGCCACCCAAATGGGAGACTCAGATGCTGGCCCCTCACTTCAGGTTGGCCAGGCCCTGACCATTGCAGCTGTTGGGAGGAGTGAAATATGAGGCAGAAGAGTTCTCTGTCTCTCATTGTCTCCCTGTCTCTCAATAATTCTTTCAAATAAATAAATGAATATTTTTAAATTTAGAAATTACGTACTGTGTGTGAAAAAATTACTATTTTCACAATCTAAGAGTTAAGTGTTTCAACAGAAAAAAAAAAAAGATAAAATAAACCCCAGAAGCCAGTTTAATAATTGCACATGGTAGTGATAGATTAAGAAAATTCCATTTCAGATGATAAGGAAATGAAGTAATGGAGGTTTTAAGTCTAGCCTAACAACATAGACTGGATTCACATATGGGCATTTTAGATGGTGCATATAGATATTATTAGAATATTAAACTGCAAAGGTTGTTTGAGAAAGCTGTCTCTGAGTTACTTGACACACCATATCCCCCAGTGGGTAGTCTTTAGAGAGAGGAATAGTTGTCACTGAAAAGAACTCACAGACTTGACTTGAGTGGGTGTTGAAGATTCACATGTTTTTCATGGTTCCTTATTCGCTAATCTCATTCTTCCTCTCTGTTGGATACCAAACCTTTTACTATGTTTGCTATATTCTATAGAGACTCAAATATTACCTGTATAAATATTAGATGTTTTATTTTTAAAGTCATAGTTAGATCTTCCACCTTCTGGTTCATTCCCCAGATGGTCACAATGGTCCAGGCTGTGCTGAGCTGAAGTCAGAAGCCAGGAACTTAATCTGGGTTTCCTGTGTGGGTGGTAGGGGCACAAACGCTTGGGCCATCTTACACTGCTTGTCCCAGGCCGTAAACAGGGAGCTGAATGTGCAAGTGGAGCAGCTGTGACATGAACTGGCACCCACATGAAGTGCCAGCATTGCAGGAAGAAGCTTTACCCACAAGACCACAATGCTGGCCCCGAAAGATCTTTTGTGTTTAAATAGAGCACTGTAACATTATTAGCTCTGATATGTGTGTGTATGTATGTGTGTGTGTGTGTGAGAGAGAGAGACAGATTATAGTTTTATTTCTGGGACCTGGAGAATGTCCCTGCATTCACATTTACTCTCATGCTTAATGTGATTGACTTTGCAATTTTGTGATACATATAGATCTCTGAAAACATAGTTACTCCCATGTTTCATAGCTCTGTAAATATGTATGAAAATATTGTATTGAAAATTGTATGAATTTTGATTAGTGGTTTATTAATTGAATATGTTTTGACTTTTTTTTGTAGTGATTTTGGTCAGCTGGCTGTTGAATTATTAGAACAGTCGTTCAGGCAAGATGAAACCATGGCTATGAAATTGCTCACATATGAACTGAAAAATTGGAGTAATTCTACCTGCCTTAAATTAGCAGTTTCTTCAAGACTTAGACCTTTTGTAGCTCACACGTGTACACAAATGTTGTTATCTGATATGTGGATGGGAAGGCTTAATATGAGGAAAAATTCATGGTACAAGGTATACTTTATAGGCAATGTCAGTGTTAATGTGTGATTACATTCAAATGGGGGTGGCGTGGGGTAGAGGTTCTAGCTAGGTATGTAGTAAAATGCCTTGGCTTGTGCAGGATGGTGGGAGTTGCTGGGCTGGGAGTGTGGGGCAGGGGTGGAGGGCTAAAATTTGAATTTTTGCTTCCAAACATGACATTTATATCCCTGGTAAAAACTCGCTGCTTTATGAAAGGATGACTCTAAAATTGAAGACCTATCTGCCAAACTTACTTGTTACTTTTAAGTTACTTGAAGTATATTGGATACGGTTAAGAATTTGGGTAAAATGGTCTTTCAGTTTTGTTAAACCTCCCTTTTTATTCTTTTACATCTTTTAAAATAAGGTACAGAAATATAGAAGAGAGAAATCAGGCGGATATTTGTCCATTATATTGTCAGGTTGTCAGCTATTGTCAATGAATGACAGTATTAATTAGTAAAAATAAAGTTGAGGGAATAGCTAACTTCTGTTACAGAATTAACCGTTTTCTTGTGCTTTAAGGTTTTCCATTATGTAAAATTCAGGAAAAAACCTGTTCTATTTATGCAGGCAGGAGCTGACTGATATGACATGAAACATTTGCAAGAGGATTTAGGATACAGTTTAGCACATAGTACCTTCTTAAAACAAATTTTATTTAAACAAAAACGTGTTTTCTTAATGAATTATAACCAGAATTTCTTTAAAAGATACATCTATAAAAATCATTGAATTTATCTTAACTCCCTCATTATAATATTCATTGTTTGACACTTTAAAACAGTTCTACTTGGGCCATTGAGATTTTGTTTTTCCCTGCACTTCTAACAGCAAAATGGTTAACAGTCATAAGATATTTATTACATCTTTATAGATTTGGTTATTATGTTCTTAAAGATCACTGATTGTAAAATGCAAACTTATGTTTCTAAAAATTTTAGGTCATATTAAGCATTTTAGTTCCACCTGCCATATTAATGCTAGAATATAAAACTAAGGCTGAAATGTCCCACATCCCGCAATCTCAAGATGCTCATCAGATGACAATGGAAGACAGTGAAAACAACTTTCAGAACATAGCAGAAGACATCCCCATGGTAAGGAGGAAAAAGAATTTAAATAAATACAGTTTTTCTGTGAATTATTATATAATAACCTACTTTTTTTTTTAAATTTAGGAAGTGTTTAAGGAAGTAAGGATTTTGGGTAGTAATGAAGGAAAGAACGAAATGGAGATACAAATAAAATCCAAAAAGCTTCCAATCACACGAAAGTTCTATGCCTTTTATCATGCACCCATTGTAAAGTTCTGGTTTAACACGGTATGTTTTTAAATCATATGAGCATAACATTTTTCAAAAGATAAAATTAGCAGTTTGGGTGATCACAGGAATTTTTCTTTATGTATTGCCATTTATTTCTCTACTTTAGCTAAATCAAGAATGTAACTTGTTCTAATACTGGTTAGGAAGGAGAGAAATGAGAGAATTCTTAGCTATAATTATGCTTTTTAAAGATTTAATTTATTTTTATTAGAAAGTCAGATGCATAAAGAGGAAGATCTTCCATCTGCTGGTTCACTCCCCAAGTGATGGCAGCGGTTGGAACTGAGCCGATCTGAAGCTGGGAGACTCTTCCAGGTTTCCCACACAGGTTGCAGGTTCCCAAGGCTTTGGGTCATCCACAACTACTTCCCAGGCCACAAGCAGGGAGCTGGATAGGAAGCGGGGCTGCCGGAATTAGAACGGTCACCAATATGGGATCCTGGTGTGTGCAAGGCAAGGACTTTAGGCTACCATGCTGGGCCGACCTATAATTATTTTAAGGGTCATTAAGATTACAGTTTCCAAGCCCGGCGGCGTGTCCTAATGGCTAAAGTCCTTGCCTTGAACATGCTGGGATCCCATATGGCCGCCGGTTCTAATCCCGGCTGCTACACTTTCCATCCAGCGCTCTGCTTGTGGCCTGGGAAAGCAGTCGAGGACGGCCCAAAGCCTTGGGCCCCTGCACCCATGTGGGAGACCTGGAAGAGGTTCCTGGTTCTAGGCTTTGGATTGGCACAGCACCGGCTGTTGCGCTCACCTGGGGAGTGAATCATTGGACAGAAGATCTTCCTTCCTCTCTGTCTCTCCTCCTCTCTGTATATCTGACTTTGTAATAAAAATAAATAAATGTTTAAAAAAAAATCACAGTTTCCTCTGAAATGAAATAAATCAATACTTGTTATTGTTTATAACCCTTTTCATTTCCCTGAGAAGTTTGTGATTCAGTGTCAGAAATGGGGCTGTTCCTTATCCAGAGCAAATCCTTTTCATGTCTGTTTCTGTTTCTTGAGATTCAATTTTTATGACCTGGAGCTAGGAAGATACTGGATGTCTTTCCTAAGAAAATACTTGGAAGGAAGCAGGCCTCTGTGTTCCTTTGTGATTATGATAGTGCAATTGTACAATAATTTCAAATGCATTATGATATATTAAATAATTCAGTCGTCTATACTGAGCATATTAACCTAATAGTTGTTCAGATTCTTTCCATGGTGAATTAAAAGGTCAGCAGTTCTGGAACCACACATTTATACTCTGGGGACTGTTTATACCTTATTAAGTATTAAGGGCAGTGTCTGTTGAAGAAGAGCTTTTTCCAAATCTGTCTTAGTGAGGGATGATTCTCAGTCTAATTTAGTAGTAATCTGTGTAGGTGCTTTGAAATGTTCATTATAAAGGTTTATGATTTTTACTAATACTTCTTTTTTTTTAACCAGTTGGCGTATTTAGGTTTTCTGATGCTTTATACATTTGTAGTTCTTGTACAAATGGAACGGTTACCTTCAGTTCAAGAATGGATTGTTATTGCCTATATTTTTACCTATGCCATTGAGAAAGTCCGTGAGGTATGGCTTTGGTTTTTTAAAGTAGCTTGCTCAGTTTATTTTGTCTTGGGTGTCTTTGTAAGTTTGTGTTATAGTTTAGAAGTAAAAAATGATATTTTTTGCTGTTCTAAAAAGTGACTTGGAAGACTGTCAGTAATGTGCAGTTCATTTTTTTTAGTTTCATTTCCTCATCACTATATTTGTTCTGTCACTCTTTGTAATGGGTAAGTAAATAATAACCAGTCAGGTGGATAAACTAAAAACAGATTATTTTGCTGTTGCTGTTGTGTTATATACTGCTCACTAAAGTGCACTGTAGTTTGCACTTAGTTATTTGGATTTATATTCTTCTCTGTGTGTGTGTGGTTTTTTTTTTTTTCAAGAATAGTTTATTTGAAAGAATTAGGAGGAGAGAGATCTTCCATGGACTGGTTCACTCCGCAAACAGCCGTGAGAGCTTCTCTTCCACTGCTTCTCAGATAGAAGCAGAGGGCTGCATTAGAAGTAGAGCAGCTGGGGGTTGAACTGCTGCTTGTAACAATGCTGGCCCCTTTAACTAAGATTTTGGATTTAGTTGGGTTTTTGTTTGTTTTGTTTTTCTTGAGTTTTTTGTTTTGTTTTTAGTTTTTTTCTTCCTATTTAAGCTATTACACAGAGAAGAAAAGAGAGAGGGGGAAATCTTCCGTCCGATGACTCACTCCCCAAGTGGCCGTAGTCCGAAGCCAAGACCTTCTTCCAGGTCTCCCATGAGGGTGCAGGGTCCCAAAGCCTTGGACTGTCCTCAACTGCCTTCCCAGGCTACATCAGGGAGATGGATGGGAAGAGGGGCCACTGGGATTAGAACCAGTGCCCATATGGGATCCCTGCGCATGCAAGGCGAGGACTTTAAATGCCAGGCCACTGCGCTGAGACCAGATGTTATTTCTTGACACACTTGCATGTGTACTTTTTTATGTCTCTGCCTTACGTTTCAAAAGTACACGAAAATGAAAAGTAGTTACAGAACATTGTACTTTCCCATATAGATGTGGTAAGAATTTATCTCTATTTTTGAGTGTTACAATTTATATTTTTATGAAATGTGTTGCTTTAATAATGTGTTTAAAGAAATTAAGCTGTAAATTGTTAAAAGGCAGGTTGCCATACTTGTTTAAAATTAAATATTCATGAATCAGTTCCACAGGGATAAGTGGCATAGTCATAATGGTTACCTCTAGTGGTTTGATTTATTGTACAAGGGAAAAGAGTTAAAGAGAAGATGTCAGTATTTATGAGACACTGTGGTGTTAAAGCTGTGAGTTTTAACATTTCTCTGAAAAGTTAAATTTTTTAAAATTCTTATTTCCAAGAAAGATATGTGTTTAAATGAATTTATTAAACTACTTAAACCATTGATTTACTTTCTGACAGCAGGCACCTTTGAAAGTTATGGCTGTTCTGTCCAAGTGCTCCTTCAATTTGAAATAAAACACCTTTTAAAAGTGTTCACAGGTAGATGTTGTGGCACAGCAGTTAAGCCACTGCCTGAAATGTTAGATCCCATTTTGAAGCACTAGTTCTGCTTCTAGTTCATGTGCTTGTTGATGTGCCTGGAAAGCAGCAAAGGATGGCCCAAGTACTAAAGGCCCATGCCATTCACGTGTAAGATCTAGATGGTGTTCAGGGCTCCTGGCTTTGTCTTGTGCCAGCCCTGGGCAATTTGAAGAGTGAACCAGAAAATGGAAGATCTCTTTCTCTATCTTACTCTGCCTTCCAAGTAAATAAACACATGCATCTTGGAGCCGACACCATGGCTCAACAAGCAGTACTGGCATCCCATATACGTGCTGATTCTAATGCCAGTTGCCCCACTTCTGATGCAGCTACCTGCTGGTGGTGGACTGGGAAAACAGTTGAGGATGGTCTAAAGCCCTGGGGTCCTGATCCCACATAGGAGACCCTAAGGAGGAGGCTCCTGTCTTCAGATCAGCCTAACTCTAGTGTTGAAACCGTTTGGGGAAAATGAACCAGTGGATGGAAGATCGTTCTGTCTTTCATCTCTGTAGCTCTGCCTTTCCAATAAAAATATAATAAATGTTACAAAAGTAATAAATATCTTCATAAAATATTGTACATTCTGGTTATAGAGTAATATATATGTGTGTATAATATATGTATACATGTTTAAGATTTTGTTTTAGTCATTTATTTGAATGACTTTGCTTATGGAAGTCCTTTATCTTAGTATTTCAGTCATCAAATACCAACATAACTGACTTTAAAAATGCTTTGAAATATTAAGATATCTAAAATGCTACTGTGGTATTGCAATTAAATACTACATGTTTTGACAGGAAGAAATTGCTTAAGCCATTTTTTTTTCTCTAATTAACCCTTTAGATCTTCATGTCTGAAGCTGGAAAAATAAGCCAGAAGATTAAAGTTTGGTTTAGTGATTACTTCAATATCAGTGATACAATTGCCATAATTTCTTTCTTCATTGGATTTGGACTAAGATTTGGAGCAAAATGGAACTCTGAGAATGCGTATGATAATCATGTTTTTGTGGCTGGAAGATTAATTTACTGTCTTAACATAATATTTTGGTATGTGCGTTTGCTAGATTTTCTAGCAGTAAATCAACAGGCAGGACCCTATGTAATGATGATTGGAAAAATGGTAAGTTGAAACATGTCTGCTAATACTTATGGATTTGTTGCCAGTTTTTTTCTTAAAATTCATAAAGATGTGTTATTAACAGTTTTGTTTGAACCAGTGAATTTTTAAATTTTTTGCCTCGTATATATCTTTATGGATACATTATTAACTTAAAGAGAAATATTTGCTAGAATAACATTAGGAAAAACATTTTGTGGTTTCTTGGAATGCTTTGATGTTTTAAATGATACTTACAAAGAATATTTTGTATCACAGAACATTTACTAGCATCTGTTAAATCCTATCCCTGTATTTCTTTTCAACTCATCTGGCACCTGTAGTAGGCTAGTATTCAGTCTCCTCAGAAGTACTTTGGCTTGTTTTCAGTTTACATTGCAACTAGAGAAATTGTTTATAAAAATTCACGTCTGATAATATCACTTCTGTATTTCAAAAAAAAAATTAAGGGTTTTACGTCACTTCAAGGGATCAATATGTTTCAATGAGCCCATAACCTTATGCCCAATTTGGCTATTACTTTGACTGACTGTCTAAATTTTAATTTTGAGGTAATTATAAATTATATAGAATTATAAGAAATAATAAAGCTTTTGTATTCTTTTTCTTGGCAACATCTTCCATGCTTCCCTTTTATTATTCTTGACCTCTTTACATGTGCTGCAGGTCACGTAAGCATTTTAACATTTCATCTCTGCTTGTGCCAGACTAGATACTGGAATGCTGTCATCTCCACCTATGCCTAGACCCTTAGCTTTTTGGACTCGATAACCTAAATTTATCCTTTAGATATCGGCTCCATCATGTTGATGCTATTGTTATCCTTTGCTGCTGGAACCTGTGTATCTTCACTTTAGAATATTTAGAATATTTCTATATCTAACTATGTTTTATGCTATATTCTTACTGGATTTTCATCTGTAGACTATAATCTGGGAATAGGAGCTCTCCTTCATAGATATGTGTTGCCTACATGGATAAATCCATTTCAAATAAGAAAAAAACAAACAAAAATGCTGAGCATTCATTCTTTATTTTTATAAGTTTAGCAACAAATTGTAGAGTATAATTGTTTACCAAGAATGTTTTAATGTTTATTATATATGCTTTGTGGAACAATACAGCGATCGTTAAGATATTATCTCTGTATATGATGAAACCACATTTCTCTTTATTGTCTTTACCCATCATGCAGTTTTTTATTTGTTTATTTATTTATTTATTTATTTATTATTTTTTAGTATCAGATATTTTTTAAAAAGTACTAATGCTGATTCACTTCCCAAACGCCCATAACAACTAAACACCTAAGACAAATTCTTGCTGTTCACTTCTATCCCACTCCCTGCTGGTACACCTGGGAAAGCAAAAAAAATGACCCCAGTCTTCAGGTCCTTGCACCCACATGGGAGACCTGGAGGAAGTTCCTGGCTTTTAACCTAGCAGTTGAGGGCATTTAAGGAGTGAATCAGCAGTTGGAAAGTCTCTCTCTGTCTCCTTTTCTCAGTAATTCACTTTCAAAATAATAAATCTTAAGCTTGAACATATTAATATTCAGACTCCTTTTATATCTTTGATAGCAGCCTAATAAAATTGCATGATAAATACTGAACTTCTTTCTTTCTTCCTACACATTTAACCTAGGAATTTAGACTTTTTTTTTTTTTTTTTTACATAAACAGGGAAAATATTTAGATATCTTTAAATAATTTAATTTAGTCAGCTCTAAGGAAAGTTGTCAGCCTCTACTCTGCATATGAGCTGATGTTTTAAGATTCAGCTGTTCAAATAGCTTCCCCCCCTAATATTATATCCCTATAAAATTATTCTGTCTAGGCTATAGGACTTATTCTTTCAGTTCTACTTAATAATTTTAAAAGTATAAAAAATATTACAATAATTTCTCTTAGACCAATTTATCATTATAACTGTCAGTTGATATTAGTAGGAATAAGCTTTTCTTTTATGTAGCGAGTACAAGATGATTATTAAAGACAAAATGCCGTGAAGTACACTTAAGACAAAAGAACAGTAAAGCTCTAGGAAGGACACTTAGAAATCTGCCTATTTGCCTATAGACCTCTTATTCTAGTTTAAACCGATAATACAATTCAGCATGTTGATAAAGATGCCTGTAACTTCTCAGCTTTCTAAATTGTATATACCACACTTTCAATGACTACTACTTGGACTTTTTTTAAAAGCCTAATTATTCTACTAATATTTGCCTATTAGAACATCAGGTGCGTTTTTTAAAATGAGAATTTGTTGTGGAATTTAGTTTTCTCTATATTTTAATGATGTTCATTTTTTAACAGGTGGCCAATATGTTCTACATTGTTGTGATTATGGCTCTTGTGTTACTTAGTTTTGGTGTTCCCAGAAAGGCAATACTCTATCCTCATGAAGCACCGTCTTGGACTCTTGCTAAAGATATAGTTTTTCATCCATACTGGATGATTTTTGGTGAAGTTTATGCATATGAAATTGATGGTAAGGATTTATGCACAAAGATTTTTGTTTTGTTTTAAAATCAATATTCTGTTATAATAATATTGTATATTTTTAAGTCAAGCTGTTAGCCAGTCTAAGGCCTCCAACAATTCATTAGTTAACTCCCAGTGAAGCATATAAATTAATTAAAATGTTTTAGAATTTTTTTGGCTCTCAATAATGGAAGTCTGGCCTAAACTGGCCCTACACATAAGAACATTTATCAGCTCACATAACAAAAATTTCAAAGGCATGCTGCTTTTCAGACTGGATACTTATATAAACAAGAACCCTTATTCTTTCCTATTTCATCCTCCCTAATCATGTTTTCTGATTTGTGTATGTTTCCCTTGTAATTATAAGACAATTGTTAGTAGGAAGGAAGGAAGGGATACTACTTAAATATATTTTTAGCATAAAGTTTTTTTTCACAGAAATCTTTAGAAACTTTTTTCTAATTAGCTTAAGTTAACTTTAGCTATGGTATAGAGTTAGAGGTAAAGGGGACTGGGATTATTCTGACAACTTTTGACCAATGCTGATGGGGGTCGAGTACAATGTTAATGACAAAAGTAATAATATACTGTCATTTTTTTAAGGGCATTTATCATGTTAAGTTTTCAGGGATTTCAGATTTTCAGGTTGCTATCAAAGATTGTTAAGTAAAGTTTTTGGATAAACCAATAAATGACATAATTACCATCATTTCTTAAAGGAAATATTTTGTACAATTTTGTTATATTTACACTTTGACTCTTATATCACCTTAGTAAAGGTAGCTAACAATAATTTTTAAAGCTTTCCCTTTGTATTCAGCTTTGTTCTGACTTCAGAAACTACAATGCAAAGGGGGATGAGAAGGAATTCAGATCTAATTATAATATGTTTGAGAAGCACTGGCTACTTTTGCAATCCTCTTTTATGTCACAATTAGATAACTTCTGTGATTTTTTTTCAGTTTCCTTTATTTACAAGTTTTTTATAAAACAAATTCCACATATCTAACAATGCAGTTTTAGAAGCATTGTGATATTTCCACCCCCCAATGCTCCATCCTCAGAAGGAGAGACAGGGAAAGATTTTCCATGTACTGGTTCACTCCCCAAATGGCCACAGCAGTCAAAGCAGAGCTGCTCCAAAGCCAGGAGCCTCTTGCAGGTCTCCCATGTGAATGCTGGGGCCCAAGGACTTGGGTCATCCTGGATAGTTTTCCCAGGCCACGATGAGGAACCTGGATTGAAGTGAAGCAGCTGGGACAAACCAGTGCCTATATTGGGAACTGGTGCTTCAAGGTGGAGGGTTAACCTGTTCAGTCACAGTGACAGTGCCTTTTTTTGTCATGGCACATTTTCAGTTCACTTCTCAGTCACAGGCTTAACAGACCCTACAAAGTAACTAATTCAACAGCTAGAAGGTTGGGGTGAAAAACATCTGTTCCTCAAGAGTACAGAAAAAGGCTGTCTACCAATAGATCTTGAAGAGGATCTTTATGTTAATGACTTTACAGGGTTTAGTGTGACTCTCATACTGTTAAGATATGTTTCTCCTCTCGGTTTCACATCAGATTTGGCCATTTCGGCCATCTGGGGAAGTGAACCAGCAGATAGATAGAAGGTCTTTCTCTTTGTCTCTCTTTCTCTTCATAAATAGGCCTTTCCAAAATAAATAAATAAATTTTTCAAAAAACATGTTTCTAAAAGAAGTATTGTGATGTGGCTGATAATAGAAACTTTGCTTTCTTTAATGCACCTCAGGGTAAGCTCGTCAATGAAGCATTTGTATTATGTGTAGTCTTGTCAGAATAGAGTAGTGGAGAAATTCTCCCAAAAGTCTTTCTGTACTGAAGTTACGCCAAGGCTTCTACTGGTAACTGATACAGATTTGTGTGTAATCAAGACTTCTTATGTATAGTAAACAAATAAGCTTAAATACTAAGTAATAGCAATTACTGGTGAATTACCAAAATTTGTTTTTCTTCCTTAAGTGTGTGCAAATGATTCCTCTGTCCGTGAAATCTGTGGTCCTGGGACATGGCTGACTCCATTTCTTCAAGCAGTCTACCTCTTTGTACAGTATATTATTATGGTTAATCTTCTGATTGCATTTTTCAAGTAAGTTCATTCAAATGTTCATTGTAACAAATCATTGTCCAGTTTCTACTTGTTTTGAAGGAAATGTACAAAACTTAAAATTAAAAAAAAAAATATTGAAATTTAAACTATTGAAATTCTTTGAATAAAACTTAAAAAGGATTTTCTTAGAATGTATTTTAAAAAATAGAACTTTGGGAAGTTTTATAAGCAAAACATAGACCTGTATCCCTAACTTATGTGAACACTGACTATTATTATTTCAGTGGTTGCCAATTTTATAATAAATTAAAGGACCTTATTTTCTCTACATTTCTTTTTTTAATAATAGTATTTTTATTGCAAAGTCAGATATACAGAGAGGAAGATCTTCTGTCCAGTGATTACTCCGCAAGTGACAGCAGTGGCCAGAGCTGAGCCCATCCAAAGCCAGGAATTTTTTCCGGGTCTCCCACGCAGGTGCATGGTCCCAAGGCTTAGGGTTCTCCTCAACTGTTCTCCCAGGCCACAAGCAGAGGATTAGAACCAGCGTCCATATGGGATCCTGGCGCATTCAAATGAAGACTTTAGCTGTTGGGCGGGTGCTCCGGGCCCTACATTTCTTTAATTACTATTAAGGTTGACTATTTTCCTGTGGTTTTGCCATTTATATATAATTTTTCAAATCTTAATATATTTTTCTGCAAATTTTTTTTTACCAGGCATGAGTAAGGTCCTCAAGAATGTCAGGTTTTTACCTCAAATTTATGACTTTTGTGTCCTTATTTAGAACAAAGCTTTAAGTATTTAAAACTTAAGATACAGTTAGTTAAGTTCATTTTTTTTCTGTTATTTTAGCAATGTATATTTACAAGTGAAGGCAATATCCAATATTGTATGGAAGTACCAGCGTTATCATTTTATTATGGCTTATCATGAGAAACCAGTTCTGCCTCCTCCGCTTATCATTCTTAGCCATATAGTTTCTCTTTTTTGCTGCATATGTAAAAGAAGAAAGAAAGATAAGACCTCTAGTGGACCAAGTAAGTAAAATACATAAAAGCAAATGCTTTTATAACTTCTCAGTATTATACTAAAAGCTAAAAATTGGTTATTGAGAAGATTTAATTAGTTAATGCCTGCTTTTGTTAAATTTTCTAAACCTAAGGAAAAATTTAGGTGCAGTATGATCTGGGGGTTGGAGGAGGCGATGTTAGGGCTTTCGAACCAGCTGCCTACTCTTAGGCCTAGGAAAGCTGCATAAGATGGACCAAGTACTTGAGCCACTGCCAGCAACAGAAGTGTAAAACTCAGATGGAAGTCGAAACTCCTGGTTCCAGTCTGACCCCATGTTTGCCTGTTGTAGCCATTTGGAGAGAAAGAAGATGTGTGTGTGTGTGTGTGTGTGTGTGTGTGTGTGTGTGTGTGTGTGTGTGTGTGTGTGTGTGTGTCTGCTTTTCAAATAAAATAAGTCTTTTTAAAAAAATTAACAAGTGCAAGAAGTGTCTGAAATTACCCTGGTGATATAGCATGAGTGAAGACAGTACCTGTCTAGTACTAGAGCAGTAGACGCACAGCAGTGAAAAGAGAGAAAATGTGCAGGTAGATTTATTCTTAAGAGCCCTGAATAAAAGTTGGAAAACTCATGAGGTAAAGTTGATAGCTTGATAGTTCTTTATTCGTTTTTTCCCTACTTTTTTTTTCATAGAACTTTTCCTAACAGAAGAAGATCAAAAGAAACTACATGATTTTGAAGAACAGTGTGTTGAGATGTATTTTAATGAAAAAGATGACAAATTTCATTCTGGAAGTGAAGAGAGAATTCGTGTCACTTTTGAAAGGTTCAGAAGTACTTTCACTAAAATTGATTATGTCAGAATGAAGCTGTATTGGTTATGTCTGTATGTTATGCATGGTCACATTGTCAAACTTATTTTGTCAGACAAAATGGTTCTTTTTAAAAAGGTTTATTTTATAGGAGGAAAGTTCGATAAACAGAGAGGAGGAGAGACAGAGAGGAAAGTCTTCTGTCTGTTGATTTACTCCCCAAGTGACTGCAATGGCTGGAGCTGAGCCAATCCGGAGCCTGGAGCCTGGAGCTCTTCCGGGTCTCCCACACGGGTGCAGGGTACCAAGGCTTTGGACCATCCTCAGCTGGTTTCCCAGGCCACAAGCAGGGAGCTGGATTGGAAGCGGAGCCACCCGGATCAGAACTGGCACCCATATGGGATCCTGGTGTGGTCAAGGCGATAACTTTAACCACTAAGCTTTCATGCCAGGCCGCAGACAAACTAATTTTTGGTAATTGTTTCATATTTTGGGAAGACTTCAATTTCTTTTGGTTCAATACTTCACAAATCTCGAGAAATCAAACCTTATTACTTTTTTAATCCTACTTAGAATAATGAGGAATTAATGTTTTTTACTGTTCAGTGAGAGGAATAAAACTATCCTCACTTTCTGAAAGTCTTTTTCCATTTTCTTGTTACAGTCTGGAAGCATCTGGTCTCTGTGTAGCCATGGTAGACCTGTGTGGATGTATCTGTACCCAAATTACTTGTAAAGATGTTGGAATAAATAGCCTAGAATCCGCGCCCAAATAGAGATCACTTTTCAACCTTTTAAAAATATTTGTTTGTTTTTAAAGACAGAGTTACAGAGGGAGAGATGGAAACAAAGGAAATCTTCCATCCACTGGTTCGTTCCTCTAATGACCCCAGTGGCTATAGCTATCTTTCATTGCTTTCACAAGTACACTGACAGAAGACTAGATTGGAATTGAAACAACTAGAAGATGAACAAATAGGATGCTAGTGTTGCCAGTGGCAGCTTAAGGTGCTATGTACCAGTGCTTGCCCCACAAAATGTTTTTAAAAATCTTGTATTTTATATTAGGATTTAGATTCCTCCTTAAATCTTAGGGTATGCCTCGTAATAAGTAACCATGTCTTATGAAAAAATTTACAGTGTTGGAGTGACCAGCATGATGGTTCAGCTAACTAATCACTATGCCTGCAAGTCCCAAACCAGAAACCCAGAGGAAGCTCTTGGCTTATGATTGGCTCAGCTTTGATTATTATGTCCTTTTGGGGAGTTTAACCAGCAAATGGAAGATCTCTCTGTGTCTCTCCTTCTCAATAAATCTGCCTCTCCAATAAAAATAAATCTTTTTTTTAAATTTTACAATGTTAGAACCTGTGTAAAATCTGCTTTTACCATAATTTATTGAGACCACAGAAGAAATTTCTATATCAATATTTAGTATTTACAAAAAGCTTGCTTTTCCTTTACAGAGTGGAACAGATGTGCATTCAAATTAAAGAAGTTGGAGATCGTGTCAACTACATAAAAAGATCTTTACAGTCATTAGATTCTCAAATTGGACATTTACAGGATCTTTCAGCCCTCACAGTAGATACGTTGAAGACTCTCACTGCTCAGAAGGCTTCCGAAGCTAGCAAAGTTCACAATGAAATAACACGAGAACTGAGTATTTCTAAACATTTGACTCAAAACCTTATTGATGATGGTCCTGTCAGACCTTCTGTGTGGAAAAAGCATAGCGTTGCAAATACGCTTAGCTCCTCTGTTCCTCGAGGTGATGTTGAAAGTAATAACCCCTTTTTTTGCAATATATTTATGAAACATGAAAAAGATTCCCAGTATAATATATTTGGTCAAGATTTACCTATATTACCCCAGAGGAAAGAATTCAATTTTCCGGAGGCTGGTTCCTCTTGCAGTGCCTTATTCTCAAGTGCTGTTTCTCCTTCAGAACTACGGCAGAGACGACATGGCCTAGAATTATTAAAGGGATTTAATAAAAGTCAAAAACTAGGCAGTTCACCTAGTAGTACACCACATCTGTCATCCCCTCCAACCAAGTTTTCTGTTAGTACACCATCCCAGCCAAGTTGCAAAAGTCACTTGGAAAGTGTAACCAAAGATCATGACACTGTTTGCTCTAAAGCTGCAGAAGGAGACAATACAGAATTTGGAGCATTTGTGGGTAAGTGAAACTGGTGTTCATGTTGTCGGGATTGTTTGTTTTCTGCTCAGAAATAAAAGTTATCTCTAAAGGAAAAAATAATTAGATAATAAAAATTTTAAGTACTATGTGACAAGTATACTATTTTTTAAAATATGTAGTTCTGCAATTTTTAAAAGGAATTAGTAGGGGAGATAGGCTAAATTTGATTCTTTAAGAGTTATGATGGAAAAGCCATTATTAGCCATAATTACAATTTTATGGAAAATTTCTGGGCTTTCTTTGGAATTTAAACATTTTAGTTGAATTTGGCCATCTCCTATTGAAAGACTTTGAGTGTTCATAATTTATTACAGTCCTTTGGGGACAACAGAAGGATATAGAGGGAGTTAGAGAGAGGTAATTCATGACATGTGAGAGTGAAAGGATATACAAATAATAATTAGGTTTTTAGGAAAATAGTTTAATTTGAGAACAAATGAGTCATGTGTCACTTAATCATGGGGGCATATTCTGAGAGTTTGACAAGATGGCATTGTTTGTTTTGTTTTTTTTTTTTAATTGCAAAGTCAGAGATATATATGGAGGAGGAGAGGCAGAGAGGAAGATCTTCCATCCAATGATTACCCAAGTGACCGCAGTGGTTGGTGTTGAGCTGATCCAGGAGCTCTTCCAGGTCTCCCACGGGGGTGCAGAGTTCCAAGGCTTTGGCCCGTCCTCCATTGCTTTCCCAGGCCACAAGCAGAGAGCTGGATGGGAAGCGGGGCTGGTGGGATCAAAACCAGCACAGTCAAGGCAAGGACTTTACCCGCCAGGCCATGGCGCCGGGCTCTCGTTAGGAGACTTTAATATAGACTGTACTTATATAAACCTAAGTGGTAGATAATCACTTGATATGGCATTTTGAGGAAATGTATGAGACTGCTACTAGTGTACCACGACCATACTGTTTATTGTATTTTTTTCAGTAAGTTGGAATACACCCTACAATAACAATAGAAAATAGTAAAGTATAGAAAATACTAAGCCTGTACCTTGTTCATTTGTCATTATGAAGTCTTAAGTGCTACCCATTTATATTCCTACAAAGGAGAGCACTTAAGAAAAAAATGATTTATTCTTATACCCGTGATCTCTTAAACAACATGAGAAAAGGAAAGCCTTTTAGTAATAACATGTTAGTGACCTTCAAAACTGGTAAGGAAGTGATAGAGGAAAGCAGATTGTTGTGAAATTAAGTGTGAATGGAAGGAAAGAAAGGAGAGATAGTAGAGTCACTATTGGCAACTCTGAAAAAGTTTAGCAGTGAAGGTAAAACAAATGACTGGGTTTGTTGTTGTCTGTTAAGGATGTGCCTTGTTTTATTTTTAGTGGTAATGGAAATTTAAATATAGTAAAATGCTAATGGTATGCCATTGTAGAGGAATGTGTTAAGGGGAAATATTTTATAGAGCTAATTAAATCTTCCAATTTGAAGAATATAATCCTCTAATTTGAAGAACCTAATACTTCTGGTTGTTAATAGCTAGAAGTGTTTAACAAATACTCAGCATTTTCTGAAGATAGCAATTATTTAAAGATAGATGAGGTTCTTGATTATTTCTTTCCATTAGGTGGCTTGCTACTCTTTGGAACTTCTGGCGTTTATGGAATGTGCATAGATACAGTTCTAAGAATGTTAGTGAGTCAATGTAAAATCTGCACTAAGGCCAGCCTACAGATTACCTAGGTCCTGAGAGTGCTGAGAGCCTCTGCTAGGCTCTGTGCAGTTCCTTGTGGATGTAGATACATGACTCCCTACCCAAAGTCTAGCCTAGTCTATGTTTGAAGGTCCATTTTAGCTTGTTTGTTACTGTGTAATGTGTTACCCTTAAAATGTATGTTTACCTTTATATACTAGTGAAAAAGATTGTTTCCTTTTTTCCTTTTAAATTTCTGGCCCCTTTTCACATGTTAGATTCATTTAAGGGGCTTTTGTTTTGCTGTGACTGTAGACTAAACTAATCTTCACAAATGTCCTGACAAATATTTTTAATATTATTCATCAAATATGCTAAAGTGGACAGTGAAGCAATTGAAATTTTAAAAACAACATTGTTTCTGTGAATGTCTTATGATGTCATTATTTTTACAGTTTAAACATAACAAAAAAATTTATTATTTTTTTAAAAGGACATAGAGATAGTATGGATTTGCAGAGATTTAAGGAAACATCAAACAAAACAAAAGAAATTCTATCTGTAAGTAAAACCTATTGAAGCAAGACAGTTTTACTTTCTTTCACTACTTTTATGTTTATGTCTCTTTGCTTTAGAGATTTCACATCTCAGAAATGTTGAACTGATTAAATGAAAATAAATTTTTTCCTTAAATTAACACCAAAAAATTGATAATGGCGTACGAATTTCTGTGAATAGTTGCTCTTCATAGGAACCAGCTTGAATTATGTAATTTTGATGGACCATATTATTAGTTATCCTGCATAGAGAAGATAGATCTATGTATTTTGGTGGCATTTGCAGTACCATTTGTATTTTTAACAGTGTATGTTCATATTAAAATAGTATTTTGATATATTTAATGACTTTTGGCTAAGTCTTACTGCTTAGAATTTATCTGGTTATATGAAAGGTAAGATGTGTTGGGTGTGTGCGTGCTATGTTTGCTCTAAGTTTAAAAATAATCCTATTATTTTTACTCATAGGGACAGCAGAATGATGTAAGAAAAATGATTATGGCATATGCAGAGATGCCTAAATATCAGGTAAAGTCTCTAGTAAAAATGGGAGTCACAAATTCAGCTTAAAATATACATGTCCTTTTAGTCAGGAGGTAGGTGTAAGTTCAGTGGATCTCTTGTATTTATATTTTGCATAATGTTTGTAGCCATTTTATTCCTGTGATCTGAATTTTTCTGTTAAAAGAGCGATTTTGGAAAGACATCTAAATACATGGGTCGACTGCATTTAGATTGCTCTGGCTCGCAACTAATGATGAAAACAGAAAAGAAAGAAGAGAAGAGCCTGGCATGATGGCTCAGCAGCTAAATCCTCTCCTTCAAGTGCTGGTGTCCCATATGGTTGCTGCTTTGTGTCCTGGCTGCTCCACTTCCTGTTCAGCTCCCTGCTGATGTCCTGGGAAAGCAGTAGAGGATGGCTCAATGTCTTGGGACCCTTCATCTGTGTGGGAGATCTGGAAGAGGCTCCTGGCTTCTCTCTCTCTAAATCTGATCTACCAATAAAAACAAAACTTCAAAACAACAACAAAAAACCTTTTACATGGCACTAGAATGCAGAAATAATCTACCTACAGAAAAAGGAAAATGTGGTGAGACAGTTTATTAAGCATTTCAAGATTACAAATAAACTGATTAAATCTTACAAAGATCCAACCAACACTATTTAATTCTAAAATTCACTTCAGTTGAATCTATTTTAGAAAAACTGGAATAGCATATCTCACATTACAGTAACAGTAAAATCAACTTTGGTAGAGAAGTTCTACTTTTCATATCTCTCTCTCTCTAAAAGGTATATTTATCTTTACTGGAAAGGCTATTCACATTTAGAGGGAAGGAGAGACAAAGAGGAAGATCTTGCATCCACTGGTTTAATCCCCAAATGGCCTCTGGCCAGAGCTGAGCAATCTGAAGCTGGAAGTCAGGAGCTTCTTCTGGGTCTCCCACGCAGGTGCAGGGTCGCAAGTGCTTGAGTCATCCTCTGCTGCTTTCCAAGGCCATAAGCAGAGAGCTGGATGGAAAGTGGGGCAGTCAGGACATGAACTGGGCCCATTAAAATTTTTTTTGTTTTGTTTTTAATTTTAAATTTTAGTTCTTCAAATGCCTCTAAATCTGTCTCTTAGTTGCAGATTAGAATTTTTGTGTTATTATTGAGTATATCAAAAAGCACTTAAAATAAAGCAAGCAAGAAATAGCTGTAAACTGGTTCCAGAAGGAGAAACTAAAATTGGACATGAATTTAAAATCTGTTGTTTCTGCCAGTAAAAGATGAGTACTGTTTTTACCTTAGCTGTGTAAAACCACTGCGGCTCAAGAACTTTAGCAGCAAAGCTGGAAGATTTATCTCTATATTTAAATTAACTTAGAAAATTGAAATCACAAAAAAACTTAAGCTGTAAAGCTAATAGAACCTCATCTTTCTTTGTTTTAAGATTTATTTATTTATTTATTTACTTATTTATTTATTTATTTATTCTGCTTGTTCACTGTCCAGATGGCTGCAATGGCCAGGGTTGGACCTGCATAAAACTAGGAGCCAAGATTTCTTCAGGTCTCCCAAACTCTTTGCACAACTTCTGCTTTTCCCAGGCCATTAGCAGAGAGTTTGATCATAGATGGAAAAGCCAGGGCATGAACCAGTCCGCAGAAGAGCTTTCTCAACATGCAGGCAATAGAAAATAGTGGGATAAATTATAAAAAAAAAACCAATTAAGTACCTACACATAGATAAATCTAAATAAATTTGAAAAAGTTTGACAGGCAGCCAACAGATCTTTGTTAGATGAATACCTTATACAGATCATTAAGAAACTACCAAGACCCACAAATACGAAGTAGTTCCAAATCAGTGTTGTGAGTGTGCCAAGGCATGTGTAAAATAATTCCTTCTTTCCATTTTTCTTTTCCTTTCTTCCTTCCTTTTTTTTCTTTCTTGTGAGTTGATTCTTTTTCTACAATTCCCTTATATTGTTCTAAATCTTTTGTGAATTTATATTGTTATGAAAAAGGAGTAGCTCATATGGATTTGTCTACAATAGCCAAGTAAAGGTGCTTTGACAGTTTATGAGACCCTGAAGAAAATAACCGTAATCAATATTTTCCGCCTTGTGTCTATCTCAAATAAAGTATATTGAGCTAAATAAATAATCAAGGGGTTCTTTTTACTTAGAACAGTGGCATGGCATTCAGTTCAGTTGTTTTAAAAATTATGTGTATGTCCACTATATGCAGAGTGATAATCCCTCTGAAGACACTTTGAAACACGTGAGTTCTTTTGCTGGCTTTACTGAATGTCACAGAACTCCAGATTCTCTTCATGTGGAACAAGGTAAGTGTTTTGATTTATGAATTTTGTTAGCAAACGTGCTTATTTAAACTTTTATCTTATCTTTGATAAATACCTGGATAATAAATTATATAGGAGTCAGAGGTAAGTTTTCTGGTCCATTGTTGTTAGCCATAAATAAGTCATGTAAGGCTAACGTTCTGGTACTTTTTACATAAACAATTGTTTCTGATAGATCTGACTTTTGTCATGTATCATGCTTCAATCTGCATGATTCATCATCACCATTGTTGGTTTGTCTCCCATTAGATCTTCATGTTTATACTGTAATACATGACAATTCAGTCTTTTTCCTATACAACAGAAAACAGTATACCATAGATTTGTTTTGTACCATTAACTTTTTACTGAAGATATTCTGGTGTTCCATATCAGGCTTTTTAAAATGAGTCAGGATTGCATACTCTTGTATCTTAAAAATTGAGTAATTTTAAAGCTTCCTTTTCAGAAACAGTATCGCCATGTCCCTCTTACCCTCACTTATTTTTTTCTTCTTCATCTGCTAAATTCAGCAGTACATATAATGATCAGGTTGTTTATTCTTCAGGAATGCAAATTGGCTTAACATTCAAACATATTACTGTGATGCATGAAGAAAGTAAACCAAAGGAAAATTACGAGATTATCTCAGTAACTATACAAAGGGGATTTGATAAAATTTAATAATCATTGAAAATTAAAGCTGCTGGGCCCGGTGGTATGGCCTAGTGGCTAAGGTCCTCGCCTTGAATGCACCGGGATCCCATGTGGTTGCTGGTTCTAATCCTGGCAGCTCCATTTCCTCTCTATCTTTCCTCCTCTCTGTATATCTGACCTTGTAATAAAAACAAAATAAATCTAAAAAAAAAGAAAATTAAAGCTGCTAAAGTAGGAATATGAAGGAGTTCCTTGATTTTGATAAAAGCATTTCAAAAAGTTACTGCGGATATTATAGTCCATAATAAAATAGGCGAAGTCCATAATGGAGAACAATACTGGGAATCTGGGACTGCTGTTTCTTACATTCTAAATCAGAACAATAAAGCAGTAGAATTAGTAAAGAAAAAATTACAAAACTCTTGAGTATTCTGACACAACATAGTTACTTTCAGAGTTAGTGTGATTACATTACTGCATCCTCGTATTTCCATTTTAAGCCGTGTCTGTTTACCTTTTTAAAAAAGGCATCTCTTCGCAAAACACAAAGCCCATACACACACCTGTTTACTCTTCCACACCAACAAACTTATATTATGGTTAGAGCAAAAACTCTAGATTCTTTAATATTTGAATAAATTTCTTCAAAATATTTAGACTGTCCACATTGGGCAGTGCCCACCAGGGAAGGCTTCTTCATCAGCCCAAAATATTTAGACTGTATGCTGTCATCATAGTCATAATGTAGATTTTTTCTTGAGTCTTCTTATGCCTCCAAGAAGGGTGAGTTTGGGACAAGGGAGAGAGATGTTTTACTTAATTTTTCCTCTGTTTCTTAGTGCCTTTCCACAGCACTATTATTCATGGGCTGCATGTAACTTTGTGTGTTCAGCAGTATTAGGCAGATAGTAAGCTATTTTATGAAGGTTGCTAGAAAACTTTTGTTTGGTTAATCAGTATTTAAAAAATTTAATTGACTTTTCATTAATTTTCTCTTAGGGGAAATTGGTAGTCGAAGGCCTTCTGCAGAAGATACTCATGAAGTAGATTCCAAAGCAGCCTTATTACCGGTTTGTACATTTTAACTATACAGATGCATATTATTTAGTACAATATTGCTAGGAAAGAACTAGAAGTGGCAGTATTTTATTTGGGATTGCTTCAAGTTTTCAAAAAGACTATAGCATAGAAAACTTACATCTGTGGCAAGTGTTTGGAATAGTGGTTTAGTTGCTGCTTCAGATGCCTACATCCCATACAGAGGTGCCTGGTTCAGGTCCCAGCTGCTTGGTTTCCAATCCACTTCTTGCTGATGCACACCCTGGGAGGCAACAGATGATGACTCGGATAGCTAGGACCCTGCTACCCATGTGGCAGACTTGGATGGAATTCCTGGCTTCTGGCTTTTGCCTGGTGAATCCTGGCTATTTATGGGAATTTGGGGAATGGATCGATGACCGGAAGATCAGTCAGCATCTCTGCTTTTCAAATAAAGAGTTAAAAAAGATGAGACACCACAACATCAGTGCATGGTAGCAGTTACAGGAAGTTTTTTCCTATGGTGAGTAATGAGATAGTTTATATGGAAGACAGGCAAAGATCTCTTCTGTGTGTTAATTAAATCTAAGTACATGAACTTTGCCAACTAAGATAATAGGATACCTCAGAAAAATGTAGAAATGAATATTGTTTTAGCTTTTAATTCCAGTGTTCCAAGACCTGTTTTGAAACCCTCTCATTTTGATTTTACTTATTTCTTTTAATAGCAGATTTTTATTATTTCTTTAAAAAGCAGTAAAATTCTTCCTTTATATTGAATTCTATAGAAATCATTGTTCATAATTATGTTTTAAGAGACTGTCAAATTTGAAAGGAAAATATAGAAATAAGAACTACAGATCGAAACCTAAGTAACACGCTAGGCATGTGTGGGGACAGTTACTCAACTGAACCTGATACAATATAGAACTATAATTAGATGGAAAATGTTAAAGGTAAAGAGACACGGAACATATATCTGCTTGACATTGAGAAACTTAGAATTTTCCAAACTGATGGAACATCTGAAAATGGAGGAGTAAAACTAATCTAGATGTAGAAACACCATTTTAAACCTGCAGAATAAAAACTATATGTACCAAAAGGCTGCCATGAATGTGAAAAAAAAATACCATAATTATTGTTGAACGTTCAACTTGTTTCTCAGGTTTTCTTTTTATCCTTTGCTTTTTGAGGGGCAGAGGGCCATAGTGTATAGGCGAAGAGTCTTCACAAAGTTCATGAAAAGTTATAAAAGAGATCATGCATGAATTTTTAAAAATTTTGTTCCAAAATGACTATTTATAATACATGTTTGTGTGTATATACATATGTTTGTGTGTATGAACGTGTGTGTGTGTGTGTGTAAGTAAAGCCAGAGACAGGCATAGATAGAGGCATATTTATAAAGAGAGAGACAGTCATACAGAGATCAATCTCCTGCTGCACAGTAGTTCATTCCCCTGCAAAAGCCAGCCCAGGATCTAAAGCCAGGTATCTCTTTATTTTTCTTAAAATTTATTTTATTTATTTGAAAGGCAAGGGAGACAAAGATCTTGCATGCACTAATTTACTCCCCAAATAGCCTAACAACCAGGATTGGGTAACGCCAAAGCTTCTTCCTGGGCCCAAGGATTTTGGCCATCATCCGCTGCCTTCCCAGGCACATTAACATGGAATTGGATCAGAATTGGAGCAGCCAGAACCCATATTGGGATGCTGTTGTTACAGACCACAGTGTAATGTGCTGCACTACAGCACTTGCCCCTAAAATGTTCTTCATTCTTAAAACAAACTGTAGGAAACGAAATAGCATTAAACAGATTTCATAAATGATATGAACTTGTTTTGTGCTAAGTTTTTGTTTATGTTTGTTTTCTTACTAAAGGATTGGTTACAAGACAAACCATCAAACAGAGAAACATTGTAAGTAAGCCTTTTTCACATCATTAATCTGAGAAGTATTATTGTTACCAAATGTTTTTTTCCTCTGATTGTTGCATAATTTCTTTAAATTTCCTTCATTTATGGTCTGTAATTATTGTAGTCTGTCCTATCTTTGTATACATGAGATTGAGGTAACTCATTATACATAGATCTGATTTCATCATTTTGTATAGTTATACTGTAACTGCAATTCTATCTTTCTGATAGTAATAAAAATAAGATTTTATTGTGTTGTTCTATTTCCATCTTGTTCTTGAATAAATACATTGAGAGACCCAATTTGAAAATTTAATTTTGTATTTGCTTAGCATCTCTGTTCATCATTTTAAACAAACTTTGTATCTACTTTTGGGAAGCACATTGTCCTAACGGGAGGTAATGCATCACCCTAAATACCACCCACACCACCAAGAAAGCCAAACTACCCCTGCCAGGCTGGGCCATTTCTCTCTCTGCTTTATAACTGGCCTTGGGGAGTTCCCAGCCTACAGACGGAGCGGACAGGGCTTGCACAAGGAAACGAAAATCCAGCAGCTTCAAGTGTCCCTGCAGACGGAGCATCCCTATCCACCCCTCCCTCACATGCTTAGTCACATTGATAGTTAGAGTAGTAATGTACAAATAGGAAGATGTACAGATATGAAGATCCCCTAGAAACCTGATCTGGTACAAAATCAAAGGGAACATGAAAGCAGTTTACAGGTGATTGTTCCTGAAAGGAAGATGTTCAGTTCAGATTCGACATGAATAAACAATCAAAGATAACCTGTGTGCTTCAGCCTAGGAATTATTACTTTAATATTCCCAAGAACATATTCTAAAGTCTGATGTGTCACCCATTTGGTATAGGAGAAGAAAATAAGCAGACCTCATAGTCAGATAAATAATTTTCATAAATTGCTTTTAAATTACTGAAATATCCTAGCCCTAGGTGACACTTGGAAGATTTATTACCAGACATCTTAAGGGAATATTGTGTTTTATAATCAAGGCAATAGGATATGAATACTGAATAGAGATTTCAAGTTGATGTTAATTATACTGTGTGCCAAGGGACCATTGTCTTGTAGCATGCTAACCCAGGGAAATAACCAGAAGGGTAATTGATCACTCTTTAAATGCAGCGGAAGGGATGGTGCTATGTTCAGAATATATGTTAAAAGAAAATGCTGTGTTAAGGTGAAAACCACCAGGAAACAAAGAATATAGGAAGCTGGAGAGGTACTGGAGAAGTCCTCTACTTCTTAGGTGCTTCTGTGGATGGTCCTCCGAGTCCTGAGCAGTGCCATTAGTTATGTAATGTACAGCTGAGCCCATGATCCCTTTCTCTTGATTCCTATTCCACTTTTTGTGCTATTCCTATGTCTGTGATTTACACTGTAATTCTTGGAATTAAAAGAACCTCCACTTGCCATGGTGTGTTGTTTTAAATAAATGTATTAATCATGGAGACAAATTTCTGCATCAGAAAATGAGTTTTACAAAATGACCTCTTTATTCTCTTGGATTTTTGCTCATTAATCCTTTTTATATTTTTTTATAATTCTACAAGATCATTTCAAAGCCTTGTTGCAGCACAGGAATGAATCTCCCCAAAATATAAACTAGAAAATACAAGTTGTTGATTGAGTAAGACATGGTAACACTGCTTATAGTGTGTTTTTTTTTTTTTTTAATGTTTCTTTAGGCCGTCTGAAGAAGGAACATTAAATGGTAAGTCTCTGGTAGACTTAATGTGAGAAACTGAATCATATTGGATCTATTACAGCAAATATGACAATATCATAGGTACATTTTAGATTGCAAATTTAAAAAGCCAAGGTACTAGAAAGTTTTTCCTTGAAGTAACTTTTTCTGAAATAGTATAGGTATTTAGAAAACAGTCTCTTCACTGTCACCCTTGCTTTCATCCTTTCTTCTCAGCCTGTTCCTTCTCTAAAAATCCTGTTTTGCTAGGTGATACTCTTAGCTAGCTATGTGAACAGATAATTTTGATCACCTTGACATTGTAACATGAAGTCCGCTGTATACCAAATACTTGATAAGTATTTCCAAATCTTATACTGCACTGTACATTCCATCACTCCTTTCGTTCAGACTATTGTTTTTTTTTTTAAACTTTTTGTTGAAGCATTATTATATGTATGCAGAATAGTGTGGGTAGACTCTCATTGAAAACTTAAATGTGCATACGCTTGTAATCAACACCAAAAACAAAATAAACAATGTTGCCAGTGCCTTGATCTTGTTATAACCTCTGCCTCTAAATAACACAGTAAGTTTTTGTGGGAGGTGTGTCTGTGCTGTAAAAATAAAATAAATATGTGCTATCCTGTGCCTCTAACGTTTTTATGATTTTTATGAATATTGTTATGTGAAATAATAGCATGTGCGTTTTCACTAGTGGGTACTGTCATTCTTACTGTTGAAGCTTTTTTTTCCTACTCTGTCCTGTTACTCTTCAATAAACTGTGCCTACTTTGTGCATGGTATATTAGGTTCTTTCCAATTTGACTCCCTGCTTTCGTAGCTTCACTTGTACAGCTGTGCTTATTAACTTTCAATTTTGGCAGCATATTCAGTTCACATACAGAGAATCATATCTTCCATGGTGACACATATCTACAGAATTAGACTGCTTTGAAATGAGAGAAATATGGCTGAATACATGTTCAAATAAGTTTCATAGGTCATTCTAATGTGTATAATTAGTTTATTCGTAGTAAACTGCATACAGTTTCTAAAGATAGCATGCAAGATCACTCTCGCAAATTACATAGTTACTTCTTTGTTCCTCTGAGATAGGTTTTGTAGCTGGTTTTTTTGTTTGCTTGTTTGTGAGATTTGTTTTACTTAAATACTAATGGGGGCCCGGCGGCGTGGCCTAGAGGCTGAAGTCCTCGCCTTGAATGCACCGGGATCCCATATGAACGCCGGTTCTAATCCCAGCAGCTCCACTTCCCATCCAGCTCCCTGCTTGTGACCTGGGAAAGCAGTCGAGGACGACCCAAAGGCCTTGGGACTCTGCATCCATGTGGGAGACCTAGAGGAGGCTCCTGGCTCCTGGCTCTGGATCAACACAGTGCCAGCCGTTGTGCTCACCTGAGGAGTGAATCGTAGGACGGAAGATCTTCCTCTCTGTCTCTCTTCTCTGTATATCTGACTTTGTAATAAAAATAAATAAATATTTTAAGAAAAATACAAATGAAAGGGGAAAAGGATATTCTGCTGGTTCATCCCCTAGTGGCTGCAGTGATGAGGTGCTGTGCCAGGATGAATTCAGAAGCCTGAACACTAAGCAAGTCTCCCACTTGGATGGCAGAGGTCCAAGTGCTTGGGCTATCTTCCACTGCTTTCCCAGGAGCATTGGCAGGGAACCAGATCAGAAGTAGAGCAGCTAGTGCCCATATAGGATGATGGCAGCACAGGCAGTGGCGTAACCCACTGCCATTCCCCTTACATTTCTTCTTTCTTTTTTTTTTAGATTTAATTTAACAGAGAAGAGGAGACAGAGAGGTTTTTCATCCACTAGTTGACTCCCCAAGTGCCCACAATGGCCAGAGCTAAACCAAAAGTTTGTGCACGTCTCCCACGAGGGTGCAGGGGTCAAAGGACTTGGACTATCTTTGCTCTTTTCCTGGGCCATAAGCAAAGAGTTGAATCACAAGTGGAAGAGCCAGGACTCAAACCATCAACCATGTGGGACACCAGCACTGCAGGCCAAGGATTAGCCTATTACTATGACATCACACCAGGCCCTTGATTTCTTTTTAAAATTTTTATTTGAGGGGTTAGTGTTGTGGCTTATCAAGCTAATCATCTGCTGCAGTGCCGGTGTCCCATATGAAGCGCCAGTCGGAGTCATGGCTCACCCACTTGAGGCCCAGTTCCGTAACCTACAGCCTAGAAAAGCAATGGGTGCTGGCTCAGGTCCTTGGACCCCTGCATCCACATGGAAGACCAGGCTCCTGACTTCAGATTGACTCAGCTCTAGCCTTGGCAGCCATTTGGTGAGTGAGTCACCAAAGGAAGAGGTGCATGTTTCTTTCTGTAAAATCTGCCTCTCAAGACAAAAATAAATTTCAAATTTTGTTTGAGGGACAGTCAGGCAGTTCACACCTGCTGGTTCACTTCCCACATGCCCATAATGGCCATAGCTGGGCCTGGACCCCTAACAGTGAGCTGGGAATGCAGTGCTGGCCTCACCTGTTGGTGGCAGGGACCCAGCTACTTGAGTCTGCTCCTTCCCATGATGTGTATTCACTCAGGAAACAGGAATCAAGAACGGGGACTGGGAACACTCCAGAATAGAGAGCATGGTTGTTTTAACTGCTGGACTGTAATAACTGACCCCCTTTGAGATTGTTCATGACCTTTTTTTCAATCAAGAGGTGTTATCCCACCTTTATGATCCTCATGATTTGCATACATGTATTCTGTGTATATTGTTTATACATTATGCTAAAACTGCTGGCTAACTTCTATGAGACAATAGGTTTGTTTTAATCTGTGTTGTAGAAACTTAGTACATAACACATTTATTCTCTGTCTTTCACTAATTGCTATGCTCCTTAAAAATTTTAGAGATGAGGGAAGGGTTTTAGGGTTTGTTTAATATTGAGGAAGTTGGGGCTGGGACAGTGGCATTGCAAGCTAATCCTCTACCTGCAAGGATTAAATGCAGCACTGTTCACAACAGCCAAAATATGGAATGAATCTGTGTGACCATTGACAGATGAATGAATCAGTGTGTCCATCAACAGGTGAATACACACAAACACAGGCACATGAACACACAGAGGATGTATATGAAAAAGAATAACTTGGGGTAGTACTGGAATATAGAAGGCTAAACCTCTCCCTGCAGCACCACCATCCCATATATGGGTGTTGGCTCTAGTATCAGTTCCTGCACTTGGATCCAGCTCCCTGCTTATGGCCAAGGAAGGCAGCAGAGGGTGGCTCAGATCCTTGTGCCCCTACACCCACATAGGAGACTCAGAAGAAGCTCCTGACTGTTGGCTTCAGATCAACTCCGGCCATTGTGGGCCTTCTGGGAGTCAACCAGCAGATGGAAGATCTCTCTTTCCTTCTCCTTCTCTATACAACTGTCTTTCCAATAAAAACAAATAACTTATTTAAACAAAAAATTGGAGAAGTTGGTCTTCTCACAGTTAGCCTTCACGAATGGTTAAATGCCTGCTGTACCCAGGCCCCAGAAGTCAGAGTCATTTTGTCCTTCTTGATTGAGGAAAGTGCTCTTTATGACAATTGAGGAGAATGAGAAACATAAATGTGCCTCTTCCTGCCACATGAATATACAACTAATCTGGCAGAGAGAATTAGGATAATATTATAGTGTATTCTGGACATACTTATTATCTGTGTTTCTTTGTAAGGTGAATAATTGACTATATGAGAGTGAGCATGAATTATTGCTGCACTAGTACTTTTAAAGTTGTCTTAATTTGTTTATTTGCTCTTTTAGGTCTCGCCTCTCCTTTTAAGCCAGTTATAGATACCAATTACTATTACTCAGGTGAGTATTATTAAAAATAAAAGTTAGTAATATTTTGGATGTTTAGAGGTTTAATTATTTCTTTGATTTTTATGCAGCTGTGGAAAGAAACAACTTGATGAGGTTATCCCAGAGCATTCCATTCACACCTGTGCCTCCAAGAGGTAAATCCAAAAGGGAATAAAAGGGGAACTTTACATTATGCTGATTTTTAGTTGACACTAAACATGGATGCGTGAAAGAATAAAAGATGACATGAAGATACATAGGTTTCATATAAATTCTTAAATAGTATGACTACTTAAGTGGTGGTACAGACTTCGAGGATGAATGCACCAAAACTGTAGTTGCAGCATAACCACACGCTGGTGCTTTCTAATTTACAAGAGTTCTACTTTACTCTTTGATCATTGCAACAGATGAATTGACAGTGCAGCATTTGGAGACAGATTAGTTCTAACCTATGTAAAAGTTCTACTGGGTTTCTGAAAGTTTATTCTTAAGAAATTTCACAATTTCAAAAATGTTATGGCACAAAAAAATTAGATATTATGGAAATTTGTTGTTGATTTCCTATGATTTGCCATTTTAAGGATTTTTTTCTATAACTACAAGTTGATCCAGTATGTTTTCTTTTCCTTAATGATGTACTCAGACTATTTTTGTTTTACTTTATCTTCTTTAAAGAGTCATTTTTAAATTTTAAACAATATTTGTTCATATTGCAGGTGAGCCTGTCACAGTGTATCGTTTGGAAGAGAGTTCTCCTAGCATACTGAATAACAGTATGTCTTCTTGGTCACAGCTAGGCCTCTGTGCCAAGATAGAGTTTTTAAGTAAAGAGGAAATGGGAGGAGGTTTACGAAGAGCTGTAAAAGTGCAGTGTACCTGGTCAGAACATGATATCCTCAAATCAGGACACCTGTATATTATCAAGTCTTTTCTTCCCGAGGTGATTAACACATGGTCAAGTATTTATAAAGAAGATACAGTTCTTCACCTCTGCCTCAGAGTAAGTGATGGTGAATGTAGAATACTGAAGCATAATTTGAACTTCATTTTGTCAGTTCTGAAGTGTGAAGAAACCAACAGAAGTCTTAGCTTAAATATTGAACAGAAAATTTTTCCCTCTTGTAGGAAATTCAACAACAGAGAGCAGCACAAAAGCTCACGTTTGCCTTCAATCAGATGAAACCTAAATCTATACCATATTCTCCAAGGTAAATCTTCACATGTTCCTGAATTTTTCAGTATTATTTAATGGTAGTATTTTTTTAACCTCCATTTTTGACCAATATGAATGATGTTGAATATAATGGTCACTTACATGTTTTGCAGATCAATTACAGTTTTATTAACGATACATTCGTTACATCTATATTTCATTTTTCACAAGGTTCCTGGAAGTTTTCCTGCTGTATTGCCATTCAGCAGGACAGTGGTTTGCTGTGGAAGAGTGTATGACCGGAGAATTTAGAAAATACAACAATAATAATGGGGATGAAATTATACCGACTAATACACTGGAAGAGATCATGCTAGCCTTCAGCCACTGGACTTATGAATATACCAGAGGCGAATTACTGGTACTTGACTTACAAGGTAAAAAAAAAAAATCGTTAAGATTTATTTATTTATTATTGGAAAGGCAAATTTACAGACAGAAGGAAAGAGAGGGAGGTCCCCAGATAGTGACAACAGCCAGAGCTAAGCCGATCTGAACCCAGGAGACAGAGTCTCCTTGAGGTCTCCCACACAGGTGCAGTATCCCACGTCTTTTGGCCGTCCTCTACTGCTTTCTCTGACTGTAAGCAGGGATCTGGTTGGGAAGTAGAACAGCTGGGACACTAACTAGCACCCATAAAGGATGTTAGCACTTACAGGGGGAGAATTAACTGGTTGATCCATTGCACCAGCCATTACAAGGTGAATTTTTGTAAAAATACTAACATGCAATTTCACAGTAGGTTCTTACCTATTCATATGTTACATATGATATACAGAAATGTGCCAACTTAAAATCTTATGCCAAAAGAAAGTATAAGCCATAGCTTGCTGCCACCACTATCTTGAATGAAGGAAGCTAGCCATCTCAATTGTTTTGATAGCAAAAACATGAAATTTCATGTTCTATTAGTGAATTAAATAGCCATTTCACTTTGATTTAAGAATTTGGTTGGGGCTTGGAAGGGGTAGTTTATCTCTGCTGTCATTTTGGAAGGCTTGTCTCATTGGAGTCGTTGAACAGGTTGATAGGAAAAATGTCAGCCCTTCGCTCGCAGCTCGGCTTCTCAGCTCTCCAAATGGTATTTCTCATAACTAACTGGTTTAGGCTTTCCCATGTTGTACATGGTAGCGGGCTTCCTCTAGAGCAAAAGCAGAACCTCCTCAGGGCTGGCTCAAAACCGACCACACATCCCTTCTGCCACTTTTTACTGGTCCAGGTGTTTTAAGGGGCAGCCCAGAAGCAAGAGGAAGGAAAGTAGATGATTGCATTTCAGGTGAAACATCATGCATAGAGAAAAAAAATTACTCATAACTGTCTTTGTTAGATGTTAGATAAACTCTGTCCTATATGAAAAATAATAAAAGAGGACAGCTTTACTTGGAATAATGTCTGTTTCTTTTCAAAGTGGAATCAAAGGAAAGTTTGTGCTAGCTCTGCTTCGTTAGTAAGTTATGATTTCCACAATTTTTTTCTCTGTTAAGAGCATCCTTAATTTCAAAGGTAAATTCACATTCAATTTTAAACCATGTAAGAAAATTGTTTAGAATGCTTATCTCTCAATCTTTTTACTGTAAAGATAGAAATTAAATGATTTGGAAAAAAACTAAATGCTTTTTTGAGCAAATAATTGGGTTGATTCAGTTCAAGAATGAAAATTTGTATATGTGTAATACCCTTTTATTAGTTAATCACTGTATATTAATGGTTAAGGATATGTATTCAAGTATAGTGAGAACTCTATAAACTTTTATTTAAATCAATTCAAATTTAATAATTAAAATACATCATTTAATACAATTTCATTTCCTTCAGACATTTATAAGTAGGGAAGAAAACAAATTTTGTCAGACCTGATTTAGTTAGTGTAATGATTGATTTTGGTGAGCAAGATAACTATGGTTTGTTTTTTTTTTCTCTGCATGATTAATATGTTTAAGCCATTTTGCATGAAACCACAGCAAATTAGTATGGAGAGGTCCTTGAGTATAAAGAATGAGCATCCCCATCTTTCCTGTTCTACTGCTGTAAGATGTAGAGGAACCTTATACCTTCTTGCAGAAAAAGCTAATGGAAGCTTTTTTACCTCCTTAGTTGGCTTTTTGTATCAGGCTGCCTCCGTCCTTTCCTCCTTCACCCTCTCCCAATAAACAGACAGAAGCAGAAACAAAAATAAATCTGGAATAATGAGCAAGTTTTTTTCAGTGGTTTTTTTTTTTTTTTTTCCTATGGGACAATACGTCAAGGATGTCTTTTAGATCCCTACCTCTGTTCCTTCCTTTGTCAGATAGAAAACACCACCCTTCTGCTGACTCCCCAGGTGGCCAGAGCCAGGTCAGACTGACGCTAGGCACGAGACTCAGCCCAGGTCTCCCACACAGGTAGCAGGGAACCAACTCCTTGAGCCATCATCACTGCCTCCCAGGATCTGCATTAGCAGGAAGCTGGAGTCAGGAACCAGATCCGGAGATCAGACTTGGGCACTCCACTGTGGGATGTAGGTATCTTAACTGCTAGACCCAGTACCCACCCCAAGTTCTTTTTTAAAATAACTTCATGATAGTCTTTTGTATAAGGCATAGCATGATTTCTGTCCTGTGTTGATAGATGTTCAGTCTGTGTTTGGCTTTTTGATACTACAAACAGTGCTGCAATATACATATGCATGTAGTATTACTTCTGTTTCCACAAAGTATTATGGCATATTAAAAAGAAATGAATGCCATTGCTTTTTTTCCCCCTAACTTATTTATTGATTTGGAATATGATGGAGAGACAGATCTTCCATCCACTGGTCATTCCCTTAATGCCCACAATATCCAGGGATGGACCAGGCCAAAGCATGGAACTCTGTCCTGGTCTTCCTTGTGGGTAGCAGGAACCCAAGTACTTGGGCCATCAGTAACCGATTTCCCAGCCTCATTAGCAAAAAATTGAATTAGAAACAGCAGCTGGGACTTGGACTAGAAAGTATACTCATCATGCCTGCTGTGTGACAACATAGGTCACTGTCTTTGTTTTAATGAGCGCTACTTTCACAAGAGCTTCTAGTTAGCTGAGTTCACACTCAGTGTGAGTGCCCATTTCGCGGTTTGTCAAGTATTAAATATAGATTTATTTATTTTTATTGCAAACTAAGAGAGGAGGACTCCCCAAGTGATGGCAATGGCTGGCACTGTGTTGATCCAGAGCCAGGAGCGTTTCTGAGTCTCCCATGCAGGTGCAGGGTCCCAAGGCTTTGGGCTGTCTTCGACTGCTTTCCCAGGCCACAAGCAGGGAGCTGGATGGGAAGTGGAGCTGCTGGGATTAGAACTGGCGCCCATATAGGATCCTGGCGTGTTCAAGGCGAGGACTTTAGCCTCTAGGCTACTGTGCCAGGCCCAAGAATTGAATATTCTTGATCTTTGCCAGTCTGTTGTGTGGAAATCAGCATCTTGTTTTAATTTTGATTTTCCCTGTTGTGAAGTCAAGACATTTTATTAGATTTCATTTTAATAGGCTAAGTATTTATGGTTATTCAAAATATTACTAGGTATTACTTAGGTGAGGATGGATGAAATGAGGGAAGAACAGATGAGCTGGAAAGATTTAGCCACATAGTACTTGTGGGGAGAGCTGGAAGCAAAGAAAGATGCTCCCAGTTGTGTTCTTTGTGTTATCTGCATGTTTTCTGTGAAAATGTGTTTCATGTGGAGATGTGATTTTGATTTTTTTAGTTCTGTGGATTATGCATATGTGGTTTTTGATTTTTAGAAGTTCTGTGGATTATGCTTTCCTGTAGAAGATTGTTGGCAGATTGTTCTTTGCTAACTAAGAAGCAACAAGGGTAGATTGTATAGACTTTTCTTTGTAGCCTTTTCCCTGCCTACCTACCCACCGAGACATTTAACCCTCACATCTCAAGAGCCCTTTTTTTGTTCCTGATAAGCTACAGATTAAATCAAGTTTTGAAATATCAAGAGAAGAAACCTGCCTCCCTTGAATAGTTTAAAATTGCTGTGATGAATGATTTGTTTTTTTTTTAATTATATGAATGTCTGTTTATGTCAATTACATAATGTTTTTTGTCTTTTTTATGTATACATAAAAAGGTGTAGGTGAAAATTTGACTGACCCATCTGTGATAAAAGCAGAAGAAAAGAGGTAACAAGTTTCAGCATTTGCATTATGGCATACTTTCATAGTTTCAAATTTGCATTTATGTTTACATAAACTCCCTTTTTTTTTTTTTTTTTTATAACAATTCCACAGATCCTGTGATATGGTATTTGGCCCAGCAAATCTAGGGGAAGATGCAATAAAAAACTTCAGAGCAAAACATCACTGTAATTCTTGCTGTAGAAAGCTTAAACTTCCAGGTAAAGCTTCTTTCGGTAATGATAACGCATACATTGTTAGGTTGATTCCTACAATGCCTCATGAGGCAAGAGGTACAGAAGCTTCATTTAATGGTTTCTAATTATGCCAGTGTTAGCAGGTTCTTCACAAATGCACATCATTAGTTGTAAATGATAATTTCTTTTCATTACATAATGCTATGTTTTTACTTAATGTGTTAACATGTCTGCAGGATGCCTGGAGTTGTGCTAGATATTGATGATATAATATGAGCAGACATACATAAGACATACTTCCTCCCCTCATGGAGTTGAGTCAGATATTCCCTGTTAACAATATTTAGCAGGGAATTACAGGACCAATAATTTCCAAGAGAAAAGGAAACCACAAAAACACCAAGAGTGCTGTATAATGTATAAGCACGTTGTCAAATTGAAAGCAGAGAATGGTTCCAGGCAACTGGCTTGAAGGATAAATAGGTTGTCTCATTAGCCTGTCCGAGTTGGAAAGAGAATTTCATAAAGCAGGAATAGGAACTGTGGTTTTTTATTCTGTCATAATAGTAAACTTTGTATTTTAAGGGTTATGCGTTGTTATTTAGGTATAAATTGCAGCACAACCATGTTTCTTTTTTCTGCCTTTACTGTGCTACAGAATCCTCTGTGTATTATGTTAAACTACTGTCTGGACTCACGCTTGAGCTACAAATTGTGTTTTAAGTCTTATTCATTTTGGCTAGTAACTTCATACTTAGGAGCTTGGTCTCAGACTGATTGGTACCTGTATTATCCAGGTTGTGTAAATATGTTTGAACATGTATGTATTTACTTATGCGAAAGGTAGACAGAGCAAGCCTGCTTCTGCTAGTTCACTGTCCTCATACCTGGAGCATTTGTTGCATGGCCAGGAGCTCCATTCAGTTTTCCCACATGAGTGGCAGAACCTTGGTATTTGAGCCGTCTCTGTCTCCCTGTGCATCATCAGGAAGTCAGCTCTAACATGAAGGCTGGACTACATCCTAGGCATCCAGTGTAGGTTGTGGATGTTGCAAACAGTGGCTTAGCCTGTTGCATCACAACACTTGCCCTGCATCCAGCTTTTATTTTGGGTTTTTTAGCTTTGGTATTTTTTATTTTCTTGTTGTTTGTTTGGAGGATTAAATTAGTTGGTATTTGTGAAGTGCTTAAAATAGGGCCAGCCAGGTGTTGTTAGATATCTGAATTAGTGTCTTTAATTTTACTGGATTGTTGCTGGTGTACAGAAATATCATTGATATTTGGACATATTAACCTGGTGTTCTAAACCCTACTTAATTCACTTTTTTTGGAAGCATTTTATTTATAGTTTAAGATTTATTTTATTTTTATTGGAAAGTCAGATATACAGAGAGAAGAGACAGAGAGGAAGATCTTCTGTCCGATGATTCACTACCCATGCAGCCACAACATCCAGTACTGCGCCAATCCAAAGCCAGGAGCCGGAAACTTCCTCCAGGTCTCCCATGCAGGTGCAGGGTCCCAAGGTTTTGGACTGTCCTCGACTGCTTTCCCAGGCCACAAGCAGGGAGCTGGACGGGAAGTGGAGCTGCTGGGATTAGAACTGGTGCCCATATGGGATCCTGGCACATTCAAGGCGAGGACTTTGGCCTCAAGGCTAGGCCACCGTGCTGGGCCACTATGTATAACTTCTAAATGTTCATTTCCTGGGGCTGGTGCTAGGCTTCCTTTTGTCTGTAGCACCTGCATTCCACATGGGTGCCAGTTTGAGTCCCAGTAGATCCACCTTCAATTTAGCTCTTTGCTTTAGGCCTGGGGAAGCACTAGAGAAGGGCTCAAGTCCTCTAACCCCTAAACTCATGTGGGAGCCCTGGAAGAGATCTTTTGAAATTTTTTAAAAAATTTCTTGTGATCTTGTTAAGTCTTTATTTGTAAAGATTTACTTGTTTATTTGAAAGTCAGAGTTCTCAAAAATATTTTTTTTTTAATAGAAGGAGGGCCCAGCGGTGTGGCCTAAAATAAATAAATAAATAAAATAAAAATAGAGGGAGATACAGAAAGAAAGAGGTTTTACATCCTCTGGATGACTGCAGTGTCCAGAGCTGTGTCCATATAAAGCCAGAGGCGGCTTCCAGATCTCTTACATGAATGTAGGGGCCCAAGAACTGGGGATATGTTCTATTGCTTTCTCAGGTGCATTAGCAAGGAAGTGGATTGGAAATGGAGCAGCTCAGACCTGAACCAGCACCCACATGTTTTAGAAATAGATTGCTTGAACGTTCATACATACTCTGTATGCCTATTATTTGTTTTTATCAAATCTTTCCTCTCCCTCTTCTGGTATGATCATGTGATTTTTCTTTAGTCAGTTAATATAGTGTAATACATTGATTTCTGAATGTTGAACCAGTCTTGCATTTCTAGTGCAGTTCACACTTCATTGTATTATTTTATATATTATTGGGTTTGGTTTGATAATAGTCCATATGGGATGCTAGCAGTGCAGGTAGAGGATTCACGTACTTTGCCACCACAGCAGCCTCAAAATGTGTTCTATGTATTTTGAATATTGCTAGGTTCTGGATCTTGTTTAAAAATACAGAGAATACTGGTTTTCTTGTTGTTTGCTTTGGAAGGCAGGCAGCTTATTTTAGTTTACTTCACAGATTCTGATCTATCTTCTATTGCTCTGCTTCCAATATTCCTTTGGTTTTAAAGTCTTGACAGCAGTTCTCAGGTCCGCCTCACCCATGCACCAGCCAGGGGCAACCATGGGACCTGGGTGATTGTATAGCAGTATACTTCCAAAGACTGCTATATTGTTTTTCCTTGCATGCACCATTAAGTGTCTACCTTTCACCCACAAATTGAGGGTGTCCTTTTATCCGTTTTCCTCTTCTCATGATGTCCTTCAAACTGTGGATGCCAGGGTCCTCTTTTTATTTGTTTTTTTTTTTAAGATTTGTTTTATTTTTTTTTAAGATTTATTTTTATTATTTTTTAAACTGGAAAGGTGGATATACAGAGAGGAGGAGAGACAGAGAGGAAGATCCTCCGTCCGATGATTCACTCCCCAAATGAGCGCAACGGCCGATGCTATGCCGATCCGAAGCCAGGAGCCTCTTCCGGGTCTCCTACGCGGGTGCAGGGTCCCAAAGCTTTGGGCCGTCCTCGACTGCTTTCCCAGGCCACAGGCAGGGAGCTGGAAGGGAAGCGGGGCTGCCGGGATAGAACCGGCGCCCATATGGGATCCCGGGTGTGCAAGGCGAGGCCCTTAACCATTGCGCCACCATGCTGGAGGGCCCTGTTTTATTTTTTATTTGAAAAGCACAGTTACAGGGAGATCTTGCAAGTGCTGGTTCACTCCCGAAATGCCCACACTGGCCAGAACTGAGCCCATCCAAAGCCAGGAGTCAGGGGCTTCCACAATGAATACAGGGGTTGGAGGACCTGAGCCACTCTGCCGCTTTTACCAGGCCATCAGCAGGGAACTGGATTGGAACTAAAGCAGCTGAGCCACAAGCCAGCGCCGAAGGCAGAGGTGCCTACTACTTGAGAGCAGCAGCCTCTTGTTAGTTATTTTGTACTCCAACTAGAAAGCAAAGATTTTAGCTTCCTTGTACTGTCATATGCTTATTGCAGCTGGATGCACCTTTGGTAGTTGGCTAAACACGACTGACTCTTCTAGACACCTAGTCCCATTTTATCAAATGAGAGTAATTTTCTGGGGATTTTAGTTGTTTCCCCAACAGGAAGCACTTCAGGAGCGACTCTTCATGAGTGGGGTTTATCTTAGGTCAGGATCCGAAGAAGAAAGAAAAAGGGGTGGGCATTTCCCAGAACATTGTACGTCCCGTAAACCCCACCTCCTTCTCCTCAGGTCAGAAGGTTTTAGTTCTTTCTGCCTGCATTAACTCTTACAACTCTGAGCTTGAGCTGTCCTGAAATCTATTCCTAGACATGAGAAAAAACTAGGAAGCTCACCGTGTATATGCCATTCTCAGTCAGCCGGCTGTTTGAGGAATCGCAGTCATTTCATGTGTTTTGTTTTGTTTTGTTTTGTTGACATCATTTACTTAGAACCAGTGGGAGAAATAGAGTGGCATGTATTTGCTTCATTTTAGCCATATCTATAATGTATATTGGTGAAATTAACATCACAGATACAATTTTATTTTGTTTTCAAGACAATACAATGTTTAAAGAGTATTTAACATTTTTAAAATTGTTATGATCAGAGTTTCATAAATAGAAGAGACCACAATAGCAACAGTATAGAGCCTCATTTATGCTTAATAATTTTAGTTGAGGTTAGTTGCTCATGGTTACCCTCATTTGTTAACCCCCTGAGATCAAGACTTGAGATATAATTGCATGTCTGTCTATTGTTGTTCGTATGATAAGTTGTGCGGTAGTTGTGTTCCTGTGCGAAATAGCCTCCCCTGTCCTCTGAAGACAGGGACTCAGCCTTGGGCAGCACAGTCAAAGCAAGACTATTATCTGTGTTGCAGGGTAGGATGTCTTAGGAGTGGGCACAGGGGGCAGTGAACAAGCAGTTTATATCCCAGCATTCAAGTCCCTGCCTTGGTTCCTCACTGAGGAGTAGTATGGGCTGTATAACCTTCTATCATCCAGGTTACAGTTGCCTATTTCCTCCTGTTAGTTGGCTACCCCAGAACATCCTGTTTTCCTAGTGAATTTTTCTGTGTCTGCAAGTCAGCTAACAGTGATTTTCCATTCTGTGTTGAAGATGGATCGTAAGACATTTTCTTAGAGTTCCTTAGGACAAGCCTGCCAGCCATGAATTAGCATTTTATCAAAAATTATTTATACAGTTATTAATATGTTCTGGGTGTCAGTTATTTAGGGAGTTAAAAGTATAAAATTATATGCATGACTGTGGTTGGTTTAAATTACAAATTGGAAATTACTACATTTACTAATTCTACTCTCATATTTGGCTGAATGATTTCATACTGTCCAAAAGCCATACATTATACAATTAACCATACCAAATTATTTAGAAAACTTATTTCCTGAGCTTCTTCTGGGGTGTCCTGAAGTTATCTTGGTAATAGCATATCCATCCCAGTACTCTTGATTTCCACTACCTGTAATGATTAGTTTGGTTTCGTTCATGGTTACTCAGTTGCTCAATCCCAAAGCCTTTCCATTTTCTCTTCCCACGCCTTTGCTAACCCTTCCTCAGACTCTCTGCTTTCTACTTCATCTGTTTCTTTCCTGCATTGTCACTGCCATGTTTCTGGGACTGCTGCCATTTCCTGGCTAACGGTAGGTTCTGCAGCACAATCAGAATAGTCCTTTAAAACAAATTGAATTCTGTCTCTACCTTAACTCTGCTCAGAACCATCCAGTTAGGCCGGCAAATTGCTTTTCATTTCTTTGCTTAGTGATTGAAAATGGCTCAGATGAAAAAAGGTTGTCTAAAGCCATAGTTGTTTTTTTCATGTCTGATATGAAGCTACTACAGGATTGATCTGCAGAGCATGCAGATCATTCATTTCCCAGCTTTGGTTTTGTGAGGGTGGGTCTGGGAAGTTGTGTCATAAGCCAAATATAGACAACTTAAAAAATTTGGGGTCAGGGCCCTGCGCAGCGGCCTAGCGGCCAAAGTCCTCACCTTGAATGTGCTGGGATCCCATATAGGCACCGGTTCTAATCCCAGCAGCTCCAGTTCCCATCCAGCTCCCTGCTTGTGGCCTGGGAAAGCAGTCGAGGATGGCCCAAAGCCTTGGGACCTTGCACCTGTGTGGGAGACCTGGAGGAAGTTCCTGGCTCCTAGCTTCAGATCGGCACAGCGCCGGCCGTTGCGTTCATTTGGGGAGTGAATTATCGAATGGGGAATCTTGCTCTCTGTCTCTCCTCCTCTCTGTATATCTGACTTTGTAATGAAAATAAAATAAATCTTAAATTTAAAAAAATGGGGGTCAGCACCATGGCGTAGTAGGCTAAGCCTCTATCTGTGGCGCTGGTGTCCAGTATGGTGCCGGTTTGTGTCCTGCTTTTGCTCCAGCTTATTGCCTGTAAAAGCAGTAAAGGATGGTTTAAATCCATGGGCCCGTGTGCTCACGTGGGAGACCTGGAAGCTACTGGCTTCAGATGGCCCAGCTCCCTGTGTTGCAATCATTTGGAGAGTGAACCAGCAGATGGAACTTCTCTCAGTCTCCTTCTTGACTTTGAGGTAGAAATAAATAGATCCTTTAAAAAAAGAAGAAGAAGAAAAGAAGAAAAACTATCCAGTTGATTTTTATTGTTATCTGAACTCATATCATCAGAGCTTGCCACCTCCTAAATCAGCTCAGCAAACTTTATATAAAACAAGGTAGTAAATAGTTTAGGCTTGTAGGATGTTAGTCTCAAATACACAGTCAACAATCATAATGCAAAACTACCCATAGATGAAGCAAATGAACCTCACTCTATTCCAGTAAAACCATTTACAAGAACAGCCAGCATGCCTGATTGGACCAAAAGCTGTAGTTTGACCATAACCATTGCTTGACCTAGTTTCCTGCTGGTCTTCCTTTCATTCATGGCAAATAAACCACGTGAACATAGCAAGCCCATTTCCTTCTCACAGTCTTTGTATTTCCACCTTTCCTCTGCCCAGAACAGTCCTCTAAGAACTTTGATAATTCAGTTCTCAAGATTTACTCTCTTTCTCTGGCTTTTCTGCCCGGCCCTATCTGAAATGTCCATGCACCCTCATCACCTTTCATCAACTTAATTTCTTCAAATGCATGTTCCTAACTTAATGCTCTCATTTTTCTGTTCCCTTTTCTTCATATATAAACCCAATGAAAACAGGAGCTTGTCTGCCTTCCTTTTTCATGGCAACATTCCCACATGTACATGTAAGCCAGATTAATGAATCATGGTCAGTGCATCATAATTATTGAATTAATTATTGGTTGTTATAATATTGCAATAACCTGTTGGAAAATAGATCTCTGACACATTTTTTAAAAAGCTGTTTGAAAAATGTTCTGCTTTTCTAAACAATACAAATAATGCTTCTTTCTTTCTTTTTGTCCTGGGTGGTGAATATAGATCTGAAGAGGAATGACTATACACCTGATAAAATTATATTTCCTCAGGATGAGCCATCAGATTTGACTCTTCAACCTGAAAATTCCACCAAAGAAGCAGAATCAACGAATTCTGTTCGTCTAATGTTATAATATTACAGAATCATTGACTTTATTGACACCTTAAAATGTTACTGTCACTTTTCCTTCAAGAGGAAGTTACCTAGTAATCTATAGAGGTGTGTGCAAATTGGATTTGCTGACTCCAGCACAGTTACAAGGTCAGCATCTTTTTTGGCCTGATAAAACTAGTCAATCAGACACTCCCTATAGGGCAGTCCTGGCAACTGAGAATTTTAAAAGTAATGAAAAAATTAGTATTTATGACTTTCTAAAGGGCTTTTTGTAGCAGAGGATCTCATTTGACTTTGTTCTGACGAGGGTGATCATGCCCTCTTCCATGGTGCAATACCATTAACCAAAGTTAGGTGTCCATGCACATTTTATTGGCAGCTGGAGAAATGAAGTAGGCCTTTTGGTTAAGTGGCATTCCAAAGTCTTCCTCAACGTGTTAAGTGTGTTCCATGATGATGTCACTTGGTTCCCAACTCTTTGCTTGTTGGCCACAATAGAAAGAAGATGGCCTGATACAGTTCTGAATTCCCAGGAATATGAGAAGGCGGAGCTGGTGACCATTTTCTGAGAGACTTTATTTGTGAATCAGGGTTAGGCTCCATATTTAAAGATAGAGCCAGTCTTTGTTAAGTAGAGCCCAAATTGTGCAAAAAGTATTGTTTTGGTTTTTTTACATTGTTTCATCAAGTCATTGCTAAGTAGAAGAAAGCCATGGTAAACTGGTATATAACCTAAACCTATAAAAGGAAACCTCAGCTCACTGTTGAAGGGAAATTACCTTGTGAGGAAAGTTCAAGTACTTTTTTCTTGTTAATGTCTATAGTGACAACCTGGAAGTTACACACTTCTCCAAAGATTTTTATTAACCAGTCAAATCAGATTGTAAATATGAACTTTCTTATATTTAAAATTGTGTTGGAACATCTGAACATGAATGTTTTTGTGGTACTTATTTAAGAAATTAATTGAGTTGGATTATTATGTAATGTCGGGAGATTGCAATGCAACTTTATGCCAATAAAATGGAACTTAACTGCCCCAGATACTGTTGAATATTCAACAAGGAGAAAAGCTTTTCATCTGACTAAAGTTTTATGCTTTGATTTTTTTTTTTTTCCTTTTCGTTTGTTTCCTAGGTACTAATTTTAATTTTCATTTGGAAGAAAGCAGTAAAAAGCTTATATGTATCCAGTAGTGTATCTCATAGATACAGTCAAGGCAAAAAGAGATAATAAGCTGTTTAAATAGTGTTTAATATTGATGGGAGAAAGAAAAAGTGTATTACTTAAAGATATTATACTATATACATTTTGTATATCATTAAATCTTTAAAAGAAATTAAATAAATTTATTCTTGTTTACAAATGTTTAATGAGTTGAATCATTCTGAAAAGCTGTTCAGTATTTTCACAGCCTCAGTGGTTTTGCTTTGCCTCTTGCTCCTCTGTCCTGTACAGTGAAATACTTCTCATTATATCAGAAAAGGGAGATACAGGTTTTGTATGAATGTTTAAACTTTTATAAGACTCTTAATAAAGATACAGCATGGTTAGCATTTGAACCCACACAAATTGGTTTTCATCTTTGCTCTTACAACACTCTGTGCGTTAAGAGTATGACACCAGGCATAAGGATCACTGCTGGTTTCTGCATCATTCCCTCTTCATTTTTCTGAACAAAGCTACCTCTTCCTTGGTTAATTTTGAAAGTGACAGATTACATATTTCTTATCCCTAAAAAGTGTTCTTTCCTGAGATTACTTAAGTTCATTTTTATTTACTCCAGTGTCTGAAAATATAATTTGCTTATTTAATCTCTTAATATTTGTCTTCTCAGTCTCATCACACTCTTGTCCTTTACCAAACTAATTTTTTTTTTAAGATTTATTTATTTTTATTGGAAAGTCAGATATACAGAGAGGAAGAGAGACAGAGAGGAATCATCTTCCATCCAATGGTTCACTCCCCAAGTGACCATAACAGCTAATGCTGTGCTGATCCGAAGCCAGGAGCCAGGAACCTCTTCCAGGTCTCCCACATGGGTGCAGGGTTCCAAGGCTTTGGGCTGTTTTCAACTGCTTTCCCAGTCCACAAGCAGGGAGCTGGATGGGAAATGGAGCTGCCGGAATTAGAACCGGCACCCATATGGGATCCTGGCTCGTTCAAGGCGAGGACTTTGGCCGCTAGGCCATGCCACTGGGCCTACCAAACTGACTCTTAAAATGTTGATTATTCTACCAGTGTTCTCTGATGGGATGCCCTAAATTTGGTGATGCATGTGTGCCATTTTTATTTTAGAAACAGTGCGTGTTGATTGTAATGGTGATATTTTTAAAACTTTTTAATATAAAGAAAAGCAACAAAATTAACACCCTTTCATATCCTCAAGTCAGACCTACATATTTCTTCATAGTTGCTATGCCTACTGTACTAGATATACCCTTTCCACTAAGAAGGATCATTCAGATTTTTCCCTGGATAGGGGCCAGCATTCTGGCGTAACAGGTAATACCACCACTTGCAACACCAGTGTCTGTATTGGCACCACTTCGTTCACAGCTGATCCACTTCTGATCTAAATCCCTGCTAATGCACCTTGGGAGGAAGTGGAAGATGGTCCAAGGGCTTGGGCTCTGCCAGCCAGAGGGGAGACCAGGATGAAGTTCCAGACTCCTGGCTGTTGTGGCCATCTGGAAAGTGAACCAGCAGATAGAAGATCTTTCTGTCTCACTCTCTCTCAGATAAATTTTTTTTTAGTGTTGTTATAATAATTTGAGGGACCAGCAGTGTAGCAGGTACAGCCACTGCTTGTGGTACCAGGATCCCCATCCCCTGTGAGCACCAGTTTGAATCCTGCATGTTCCACCGCTGGTATTTCTTCCTGCTAATGTACTTGGAAAAGTGGTGGATGATGGCCCAAGTACTTGGGTCCCTGCCACACATGTAAGAGACCCAAATGAAACTCTGGCTTCTGGCTTGGACCTGGCCATTGTAGCCATCTGGAAAGTAAACTGGAGAATGAAAGACCTCTCGGTGACTCTCAAACTAGATAATATTTTTAAAATGATTTGAGTTGTACCCAGATAGGATTTGTGCGTTGTGGTTACCCCCCACCCTTATTACTTTAAGATTTATTCTTTTTTTAAAGATTTATTTTTATTAGGCAGAAATACAGAGAGGAGGAGAGAAAGAGGAAGATCTTCCATCCGATAACTCACTCTCTAAGTGATTATAATGGACTGTGCTGCACTGATCTGGAGCCAGAAACAACTCCAGATCTTCCATGTGAATGCAGGGACACAAGGCTTTGGGCCTGCTTTCCCAGGCCATAAGCAGGGAGCTGGATGGGAAGTGGAGTTGCCGGGATTAGAACCGGTGCCCATATGGGATCCTGGCGAGTTCAAGGCAAGGACTTTAACCACTAGACGACCGTGATGGCCCCTAAGATTGATTTATTTGAAAGAGTTGATCCCAACTCCTCATTTGCTCAATGAGGAGCTGGGTTGGGCCAATTCAGGGACTCGGAAACATCCATCTGGGTCTCCTACAAGTGTGGCAGGGAATCAAGGACTTAGGCCAGCATCAGCTGTTTCCTCGGCGCATTAGCAGGAAGCTAGAGAGAAAACTTCATCCAGCACTTGAGTATGGGATGCTGATGGCAGAAGCAGTGACTCACTCACTGTGCCTGCCACTCTGTTTTTAGATTCTGTTTAATGTTTTCCAGTCCACCCTTTTCTCAAGAATTAGTTTTAAAGTTTTCCACATTTAGGATTATATGTCTGAAAACTGGTTGTTAGACCCAAAGAAATGTAAGGATGTTTGGTGCAGTACTGGCATCCCTTTTGGAGTGCCGGGGTCCAGGGCTCTGCCCCACTTGGGACTCCAGATTCCTGTTAGTGCACAGCCTGGGAGACAGCAGGTTTTGACTCCAATGCAGTTGGGCCTCTGCCATGCCAGTGGGAAATGTGGCTTCAGTTCCACCACTATTTTCAGCCATTCCCATCCTTGGCTTCTGCAAATATTCTGCAAACCAGCAGAAGGAAGCTGTCTCACTGTGTGTGAAAGAAGTAAAAGTAAAAGGTTAAGTTTAAATTTTTGGCAGCAAAAATGTTTCACTGGTTAAAGTGTTTAAACTAGGAGATAGGTGTGTTTGTCTTGTCATTGTCTTGACCTGTTAGTCTGATAGATCTAGGTCAGTGGTTATCAGAAGTCTCCAGGACACTCAGTAGACCTTCCCTCTGTGTTTGAAAGAAGATCATTTTATTTTAAAAATTCCTTGATGATGTAATAATGTTAACCCTTCAGTGCATGCCAGGAGTACCTTAAAGAGCACTATGTAACACTGAATGGTTGCCTCAGAGGAATCACCTAAGTGTGAGCAAAACCACTTCATTTCATTCATCATCATTTGTAATTCCAAGAACGGGGGTCATGCTGTGGCATACATAGCATGTTGGGCAATCACTTGCCATGCCAGTGTCTAGTGCCACATGCTGTGCTGCTGATCCAGCTCCTAGCTTATGCACAGGAAAACAGCAGGATGGCCCAGGTGCCTGAACTCCTGCACCCACATGAGAGACTCAGAAGAAGCTCTGGCTTCTGGTCCACCACTACAGTAGTGAACCAGTAGATGGAAAATTCTCTCTGCCTTGCAAAATGTCATGAAATACACAAGCTTTGACACATGCTTGTATATATATAATGTATGTATATAATTGGTATAATGCGTTTTTAAAAAACAGGAATTATTTAAACAGGAAAATAATCCAGGGAAAGGAGGTATTAAACAAAGTAAAGGTTTTGTTTCTATTTGTGAAGAATTACAGACATTTTTGACAATGGGAAAATAATTTTAAGGATGAGTAATCGTTACTATCCTAACTTCACTATGCAGTCTCAGGAATTAAAAAGTCAAGGGTTTCATAAAATTGTTTCAGATTAGGCATCTCTCCTAAAGAAACAACGTACCATAACAGCCCAGCTAAACTATGGGGGATTTGAAACAGTTTGCAGTCATCTGTTACACAGCACAGAACCTTGATACATAGGCATCTCAATTTTTTAGACTCGATTTAAAAAGGCTTGTGGATACAAAATCGACATATGACACTTGCATCTTAACCTGCCAGCATAAAACCTAATATGGAATGTTAAGACTACAGATGAGGAGAAACGATTTGGAAGGCCTTCTATTGACCAAAGGAGTTGCATCAGAGCTACCACTGAGGTGGCTTCAAGAGTCACTGCTGTGCACACACACCCACCTGTGGGAAACCCAGGCTGCTGGCTGCAGCACCAGCTGTTGTGGGTGAACCAGTAAAGCTCTCCGACTCTGTGTCCCTCTACCTTGCAAACACAATTAAGATGAACATTTTGGGGGGCCTGGCATAGTGGCCTAGCGGTTAAAGTCCTTGCCTTGAACATGCAGGGATCTCAAATGGGTGCCTGTTCTAATCCCGGTAGCTCCACTTCCCTTCCAGCTCCCTGCTCGTGGCCTGGGAAAGCAGTCGAGGACGGCCCAAAGCCTTGAGACCCTGCACCTGCCTGGGAGACCCAGAGGAGCTTCTGGCTCCTGACTTGGGATCGGCATAGCATCAGCTGTTGCTGTCGTTTGGGGAGTGAATCATCGGACGGAGGATCTTCCTCTCTGTTTCTCCTCCTCTCTGTATATCTGACTTTGTAATAAAAATAAATAAATCTTTTTAAAAAGAAATGCCATAAATGTCAGGTAGCTGCCAATGATGCCACTTCTAGGTGGCAAGGTATTAGAGTAGGATGATGATGATTTTTCTTTTTTACGGACAATGGTCAGGGTTCTTCAGAAGGAGAGGAGTCCATACAGACACACCTGGCCATGCCCAGGGAGAACAGGCCAGGAAGGGACCATGTGACAGGGAGAGGTCTCTACCTTCTGTGCTCAGAGCCCATCCATCCCAAGGGAGAGAGAAACTGATTATTCTTAATATCTTCAAAGAGCCTGGGTGTGAGTGGCTTTTTAATTTTTCTGGATTTATTTTTAGCCAAAAGGTTTTCCAGAGAGAGGAGGAGAGACAGATGTTCCATCTGCTGCTTCACTCCCTAAATGGTTTCTTCAGCTGTAGCTGAGCCAATACTCAGCCAGGTTCATCTTTTAGCCATTTCCCCTGCTTTCCCGGGCCATAAGCAGGGAGGTAGATCAGAATAGAGCAACCAGAACTCGAGCCAGTACCTGAGTGTAATGCTGGCACCAAAGGTAGAGAATTAGCATGCTGTACCACTGTGCTGACCCCCAGTGTGACTGTTCTGTAACCATTATGATAGAAGTAGGGATGCATACCATAGACCCTTCAGCAATTGGGTTTTTTGCCTTACCAGTAACACA